GGCCGTAATTTCTTCTACAGCGTTCTAGTCAGCAACGTAGGCGGAGCTGGGGATGTGACGGCCGTGCGGATCAAGGGTTCAATGACCGATTGGCTTCAAATGGGTCGGATCTGGGGACAGAATTGGCACGTAAACGCCGACCTCAAAGGCCAATCCCTATCCTTTGAGGTCACCACCGGCGACGGTGTCACTGTATCCTCCCAGGATGTTGCACCTAAAGATTGGACCTTTGGCAAGACGTACACCGGCAATCAATTTCCTGTCTGATTCAATACTTGTATTTTTCTGGAATAAAAAATGGGAAAAATGCTTCCAGCCCCCAAAACCCAAGAAAACATGCTTCTCCCCTACCCAAAGACTTTGTCAACGGGTGCTTTGCCCCCAAAAATAAAGATTTTATTCTCTGAGCCCCTAAAACACAAAACCCAAGAGATTAAAATATGTGAAAACCATAATACCCTTCTCTCTCTCTCTCTCTTTATCATGATGTACTGAGATGATAGTTGAAATGATTAATGTGGATTATTTTATTATTTTCATTTTTTATTATTTTCGTTGTTGATGAGAGGAACTAACTGTTTGTATTGAGAAATTATTAAAGTTACGAGTTAATTGTTAAGGTTACGGGTCAATTGTTAAGGTTATGGATCCCTTCTCTCTCTCTCTTTCTCTCTTTATCATGATGTTACTGTGATGATGTTGAAATAATTAAAGGGAATTGTTATTTTATTATTTTTATTTTTTTATTTTCGTTGTTGATGAGGAAACTAATTGTTTTTTTTTATTGAGAGATTGTTAAGGTTAGAGGTTTAATTGTTAAGGTTACGGGTTGGTTGTGAAGGTTATGGGTTTAATTGTTAAGGTTACGGGTTGGTTGTGAAGGTTACGGGTTTAATTGTTAAGGTTACAGGTTTAATTGTTAAGGTTACGTGTTTAATTGTTAAGGTTACGGGTCGGTTGTTAAGGTTACGGGTCGGTTGTTAAGGTTACGAGTTTAATTGTTAAGGTTACGAGTTTAATTGTTAAGGTTACGGGTTTAATTGTTAGTGTTACGAGTTTGTTGTGTAGGGTAACTTCACAACCAAAGCGTAACATTCACAACCAATGCATATCCTTAACAACCAACCCGTAACCTTAACAACCAACTCGTGGCGCTGTAGGGGTTTGAACCCCTAACCTCTTGTCCAAACTCCCAAACTTTATCACTAGGCAAAGTGACCCAAAGTATTCATTCCACTCAAAAAATATATACATATATATCCTAACATGTAACCTTCACAACCGACCCGTAACCTTAACAACCAACTCGTAACCTTAACAATTAAACCCGTAACATTCACAACCAACCTGTAACCTTAACAACCGACCCGTAACCTTAACAATTAAACACGTAACCTTAACAACCGACCCGTAACCTTAACAACAAACTCGTAGCACTAACAATTAAACCCGTAACCTTAACAATTAAACCCGTAACCTTAACAACCGACCCGTAACCTTAACAACCGACCCGTAACCTTAACACTTAAACACGTAACCTTAACAATTAAACCTGTAACCTTAACAATTAAATCCGTAACCTTAACAATTAAACCTGTAACCTTAACAATCTCCCAATACAAACAAAAACAATTAGTTTCCTCAGAGAGAGAGAGAGAGAGAGAGAGAGAGAGAGAGAGAAAGAGAGAGAAAATGGATCCATAACCTTAACAATTAACCCGTAACCTTAACAATTAACTCGTAACCTTAATAATTAACCCGTAACTTTAACAATCTCCCAATAAAAACAGTTAGTTCCCCTCATCAATAACTAAAATAATAAAAAACAAAATTAATAAAATAATCTCCATCAATCATTTCAACCATCATCTCAGTACATCATGATAAAAAGAGAGAGAGAGAGAGAGAGAGAGAGAGAGAGAGAGAGAGAGAGAGAGAGAGAGAGAGAAGGGTATTATGGTCTTCACATATTTTAATCTCTTGGGTTGTATGTTTTGGGGGCTCAGAGAATAAAATCTTTATTTTTTGGGGCAAAACACCCGTTGACAAAGTCTTGGGGTGAGCACGTTTTCTTGGGTTTTGGGGGATGGAAGCATTTTTCCCTAAAAAAAACATGAGCAGATAAATTAAAATTTCTACCTCAGTTTTGGATACATGTTTTGCTAGAGTATATATGTGATTTTTTGCATTATGATATAATAATTTTGTGTGGTTATTGGTGATCTTTTGTGCGCAGATTAGATAATGCTTCATTGATGATGATGATGATGATGTTTACAGATTCAGTAGGTCATAAGGCAAATTTAGTCGCATAGATGGGTCTGTCTGGTTGTTAAACAGTTGGGCATCGGATTCTCTAGGATATTGTTCAGATCTCTCTATTTTTTTGGAGTCAGATTTTAAACTTGTGATTTCTTTATTGTAGAGCTAAATTCAATGGAAGAATAAATTATATAAGAAAAAAGCAAATTTTTTGAATGTCTTTATATGAATATCCTCATTGGGCGATTGATATGAATAACAAACTTAGGTGGAGGGTTTTTTGGGGGACAAATTTTGAAAACCGTTCTATTTACAAAAAAATTGTCAAAACCGACCTATTCTAAAAAAAATTGTCAAAACCGACCTAGTTTTAACTGTCTGGCTGAAACTGGGTTGGTTTTGACAAATAAAAGTCTGAAACTTCACGTGACTTGAAGTCCTGTGAAGTTTAGCAGTCATTTAATTAAGCGGCGTAATTTCACGGGACTTCAAGTCCCGTGAAGTTTTTTTTACTCATAAGACTTCCCGCGCTGGAAATTCAGCTCAAACTTCTTGAAGTTTTTTTCTACTAAAAAATTTCACGGGACTTGAAGTAACGTGAAAGATTTGTCGTCTTAATTAATGTTACTATATGGTGCTAAACATCACGAGACTTCAAGTCCCATGAAGTTTTAGATTTGTTTTTCTCAAAACCGACCTAGTTTCAGCCCGACGGCTGAAACTAAGTCGGTTTTGATAATTTTTTTTGTAAATAGGACGATTTTCAAAATTTGTCCTTTTTTGGGCGGGATCTGAAGATATTAAATGAGCGTCTAATCATGTTAGAGTGTGTAAACCTAAATGGCAAGGAGGGGTAGGGATTCTCGACTTACAAACCACGAATAAAGCTCTTCGAGGTAAATGACTTTGGAGATGGACTGAAAACACATCAATGTTGTGGAAAGACGTTGTGTATAGTACTTATTAATCTGATGTGGATAATTTGAACTGCGTGTGTCATAGCAGGTAGGTGTCAAAATTTTGGAAAAACATCATCAATAATTTTGATAGCTTTATTTGTTGCACTCATCTAATCTTAGGAAACGGTAAGAAAACTTGGTTTTGGAAAGACAAATTAATGGGTCACTAAGATCTCTTCAGCTAATTTCTTCCTTGAGTTATTTGCTTTAGCTACTAATCCATGGGCGTCAATTTCCTCTTTGAGAAATTATGTTAATGATACTTATCAATATTGGAGAATAACCTTTGTGAGACAGTTAACTAGAGAGAATGTGCTAACTTTTTTGAAACTTAGAAGAATTATCGATGGTGCATGAGAGAATGATAGGGATGATATAAGACTTTGGAATTGGGAGAGTTCAAATAATTTCTTTTGTTAAGTTTTATTATCAATTTCTAATTGACATTTTTTCTTTTGAAAAAATGGGGGTTAACAATGTGAATATTATATCGAAAATCCCTATAGTACCCCCATAAAGTTCAGATTTTCATTTGGCTACTAATGCGCAAGAGACTGAATATCAAAAATAGGCTCATGCTAAAATAGTTGGGGTCCCATATGTGCTATATATCTATGTAATCTCAAAATCATGAACACCTTTTTATACAATGTCCCTTTGCGAGTTCTACTTAGAACTCTATCCGTTTTAAGTCCTCTGTGACCAATACAATAGCAAGGTTGGATCAGTTATATGTCTCTCTTGGAATTTGAATACTCCGGATACAAAAAATTACTTTGGGCTGTTATTTGTTGTGCAGCTCTATGGGTGATTTGGAATGAAAGAAAATAGCGGAATTTTTACACAAAAACCCGGACATGCTCTTGATGTTCTGGCTCAAGCTAACCGTTTTCTCATTGCTAGATATGCAATATTTCTTTCAGTGCTCGTTCTATGAGATACGATGGCCGAAAGATCAGGAGACTGAATGCTGATGCTACTGCTAATGTCGCTGCTGCGAGGAATTCTGAGAGGGGTTTGGCGGTATACGCAGGCACGAGAGATAGAATTGCTGATGATCTGGTGGATTCAGATGCTAATCTTTTGGGAGGACTCTTATTTTTTTTATAGATGTGTTGCTTTGTTGGCAAGAAAAATAAATGTTTGATATGTTTTGCAGTAACCATGGGGATATTTTTGTGCTGGTTAACAGGTTAAGACGTAAAACTTGGTGCTCTTTGCCCATATTTTCGGAGTTTGAAGTATGGCTTAATATATACAACCACCTTTCCTTATGCAGCAAAGCCTGATAATATATTTCCCATCCCATTATCTCGGAAGGAGGGGAAAAAAAAGAAAGAAGAATAAAAAAGCAGATCTTTTGAAATCCAAGTTTTCCCTTATAACTTGTCGCACTTCAAATGTTATCAAGAAGAGAAAGACTGCTATCTTCAAAGTTTCTTTTTTTCTTTTTTTCTTTTTGCCTTTTTGCCCTGAGAGAAATTCATCAACTGACACTACCACATAATTGATCTATTGCAGCGGTTAAGGCGCAACGGTTCTAACTGTTGCGTTAGATATCTATCGTAACGGTTTACAGTAACTAATACAACATTTAATAAAAAACGTTGCCATAAGTCAAATAATTGTTCATGGGCTTAATATTTGTTAGTGGGTTTAGGAGTTGAGTTTGTAAAGCCCGGTCAGTCTGACCGCAACCAAATCTCTCTCTCTCTCTCTCTCTCTCTCTCAAATGAAATCCCTAAATCCCTAAAATCGTCTCCAAAATTTTTCGATCCCTATCTCTCTCTCTCTCTCTCAAATGAAATCCCTAAATCCCTAAAATCGTCTCCAAAATTTTTCGATCCCTAAAATCGCCGTGGCCAAGATCTCGTCGCTGTTTTCGGATCGGATCTCATCTCCAAGCTCCTCTCCGATCTCTCCGATCTCGTCGCCGTTGGTTTCGTCGTCGAGCTCGGAGAGAGAGAAAAATAATGGGAGATGATAATCGCAGCGCCAAGCTTCTTCAGTACTCTAGAGAGAGAGAGGAGCAAGGAGAGAACAACGCGGAGATCAACTTGAGGGAGAAGCTTGCGGATGAGAACAAGAAGTTATGGGTAGTTGCAGCTCCACCAATCTTTACTCGCTTTTCGACGTTCGGCGTCGGCGTTATAAGCCAGGCATTTATCGGTCATATCGGTCCTACAGAGCCGGCAGCCTATGCGCTTGTGGGCACCGTCGTCCTTCGCCTCGCCAATGGATTGTTGGTTCGTTCTCTTTAATTTGCCTTTCTTGATTTCATAGCCATTAACGTATTTGAATTTTTCTTCTTTATGTAAATTTTGTATTGATTTTCGACATGCGAATATAGATTGGGTTTTGGGTTTTGAAAATGGGTGATTTATTTGCTGGTCATCACCTTTTCTAATCCTCAACTTCATTACTAATTTGAATCCTGATTGCTTGAAACCTCTCTTCTTTTTTTTAAAAGCTCTTTTGACCCAAAACTTCTGCTTTCTTTTAGAGCACGTGATTGTACTATCTTCTTTCGCTCCCCTCAACTTCCTTATAATTTGTATAAAAGCTTGCGGTTTTCTTTAATTTGTTTTTTTTTTGCGTAATTTATGCACACCCAAAAATGAAAGCCCTCATTACTTTCTAGTGATTGTCAAATAGAAAGTGTCCAAACTATTTACAGTTTGTTGTACATATATTGCACCCAGATTCTGATTTTTCTCCGTAGCGTGGGTCTTAGGTAGTAAAAGTGTCAGTATGTTTAATTTGGCTAATGAACAACAAACTGATAAAATGAAGATTGGGTTGCAGTTTTGCTCAAGAAAGTCATTGACTATTTACTATTTGTACTCCTCTTTAAACTTGGTATTAATATCATTTCTGATGCTTGCACTCTTAAAATGTTCTTCTAGGGATAAATGAATCCTAAGGCTATTACTAAGATTTCTCAGTGGGTTGCAGTTTTTAGGAGATGGATTTAAGGTTTTCTAGTGAAACAGGTATGAAGTGTATTCAGATGAAAGATATAGATAGGCTGATGAACATATATACATTTACAATTGATTTTGGATGTATGTTTTGATCATTGTACGGGGTTTAGTAGCAGAGGAAGCCGACTTAGTGAATATTAACTATAGTGACATAGATGAATTTATGATCTTGTTAACCTATAGTGACTTCAGTTTATACATGTTTTACTTTGACAAATGCATCCTCGTTATCACTATTCATAACTTGTTAATACTGCAATGGTAGCTACTTAAACAATCTATATTATAGTTCTCTTAGCTACTAAAGAGAACTATCATCGTTCCAGATTCAAATTCTAACTAGTGTTTACGTGGTAGGGTTGTGCCAGACAATCCTTCAGAACGTGTAGCAGTTCTTCCAACAACCAGAAAGATTGCTTCAAAGAACAAAATCGTATTCGGAACTGGGGATTATTGGCATGCTCCTACTTTGACAGCAAACATGGGATTTGTGAGAGCTATCTCACAAACCGGTATGTCTTTGTACACTATCGAACATAGGCCCCGTGCTCTTACTGGTGACTAGTCTTCCTGGTGACTAGTCTTCAACACCATCGGTGTCGAAATGCAGAGTATAAAACACATTGCAAGAGTTGAGGCCACATTAGATTTCAGTATAGGCACCTTGAAAGTTATTTTAGTAGAGGCCTTTAGAAGCGTTAAAACCTCGACTCTGACGCAAGCCTATAACATGTTAGTAAACAACTTCTCTTAAATTGTACATTCTTATAATTCTGTTTATGTTTCTAGTGGGGTGTTCTGTTTATGGAACAATTACATGCTATAATTTTTTTGGGTTAATTGCAAATATTCCCCTTGTACTATTCCCAATTGGGGATAGACCCCCGGAGTTCTATTGTGGCAGATAGACTCCCCGAGTGATCTTTTTGACTCTTTTCCCGTCAGGAGGTCTATTTGTCAGAAAATCAAATTTCTTATGTGAGTAAACTGTCCAATAAAATTTCTCTGGGGTCTATATGCAATAATAGAACTGTAGGGGGTCCATCTACAATTGGGTGATAATACATGAGTAACCCCCTCCCCCCTCCCTTTTTTTTAAATTTTTTTGGGTTCTTCAGCTGTTCTTGATGGTTGTGCTTCTGACTGGCGTTCTTTGTAGAAGCAAATGTCACGCTTTATTTTTCATGTATCTAGTACTTATGTGATTCTTTTTATTTATTACTAGTTAATCACGTCTCTTTAAGCGAGGGAAGCAGTGGGTGATTCTAGATCAAGTTCAAAAGAGAAGAGATCATTTGAGGTAATTTCAAATCTAGAATTCTCAATCCTAAATTGTTTGGGATTCTCATCTTCTAAATATTTTTTCCCTTTTGTCTCAGCATGTTTTATTTTATTTTGTTTGGTGAATGAAAAGAAAAAGTCAGAAATTAATTATGACCTAGAATAGAAGTGGAACTGGAGAATTACCCTTCATCCTTCCTGTTATTATCGTTCAACTCTTAACAAAATTTATGGAAATTGGGAGAAGGTTTTTAGAGAATTTTCTTTGAGATAATTGAGAAAGAAGTCTATCAATAGAAAAATAATAAATATTTTTCAAATTAGGTTGAAATTCATAAATAAGTCAGCGGGTGCTTTGACCAGTATCTGAAATTCTAAAAGTGGACAAGGGTCATAATGAAAGAACTATAACATAGTCCTCCTGTATTTTCCTGAGAATCAGATGAAGAAGATAAAGTTTCTTTGTTAGGAAAAAGAAACTGCCTTTTTTATTAATGGCCCTTTGACTCGTGTCATGCAATTATATCAGGATTCAGGACAGATTATCTTCCAAGTCAAATTGTAATTACGTAGTTAACGCAACTGAGTTACTTGGAGAAAAAAAAATGGTTCCAGCTATTTTTGGTCATGGTCATTACTTGCTCTTAAGTGCCTCGCAAGTATATAGGCATGAAAGGAATTTCACCATCATCTTGTTGCATCAGGTTGGCTTCAGATCGGTTGTTGACTTACGCTTGAACATTGCACCCTATAAATCGATAATGAGTTTTCTTGTTTTTGTATCTTGCAGAAGTCTGATAGTATCACATTTGCCTGAGTCTAAACACAATTTGTTAGTAATTTCTTTGTGTTTTTTCACTAGATGTGAGTTTTTTCTTGAGATGTATAGATCGTTGGAAGGCTGTAGAATTTGTTCCGGGACATTGAATACAAACATGCTATTTCTTGAAAACAAGAGGTAAAGTCAAAAAAATGTTATCTTCTGTGAACTGGTTCAAATTATGCTTGTTTATGATAGTTTATTATTTCAATGAATATGTTTATTTTCCGGATTGCTCACATATATTTGTTTCATGGATTGGAGTTCTCCTTAGGTAGTTAAGTAGGTTGTTCTTCAAACACAGGTAAAAACCGATCTTCTCGTTTGTATCAAAACTGCATCTCAGTTTTGCATGAAAACATATGATTGATGTTGAATTAGAAAATATGAGTTCACTGATTAGCATGTGAATCATTGTACGTGCACATGCAAATTGGTTTATCTTAAGTTATAGAGGGAATGTGTAGAGTTTATAGTGTCCAGATTGTTGTTTAACATGTAAACAAACTTTAGTATATCATGTAAACAAACTTTCAAGGTCTACTCTTTTATGACTGGATAAAATAGCTTCATCTATTTTTTGCCTATATATTATCTTGCATTTGAATAACTAATAATCAGAGTTGAAAGAGTATTATGAATCATAATATATTAGGTCTGTGAAATAAAATATAAATCTAATGTCAAACAATTCTCTTGATCTGAATGAACTATGTAGTTGCTCAAAAGGAAGCTTATGGTATCTGCCAAGTATTATTCAAGCACATGTTGTACGAACTGTTCAATTATGGTAGGTTTTAGGGTTTATCCCTCGAGTTGTTTCAGATAACTCTTTGGGCTTTTTGTGAATTTGAGGGGAAAAAGGTAGCATCTTGTCGGATATGTTCTTTACACCTTGCTATATCAATGCTAAAAGAATTTTTTTTACTTGCCCCATAAATCATTGTGTGTCTGTATAATTATCACCTTAGACTTTTGCGTACTTGATCTATCAAAGTGTTTCAAAGAGTGTTTTTTTTCTTCTTGTCCTTTGTGCAATTTCAGACGCATCTTAATAGTTCTACATACATTTCCCCCTTGAACTTTCAATGTAGTGGATTCAGGGGCCGGAGTGATGGTGGCAGAGGCCGAGGAAGATGAGGTGGAGGTCGAGGTGGTCCTGAAGGCCGGGGTGGTGGTGGAAGAGGACGCGGTGCTGGTCGAGGTGGTGGTGGAAGAGGGCGTGGTGGAGGTCGCGGTGGTGGCTGTGGAGGTGGAATGAAAGGGAGGAAGCAAAGTAGTGGTTCAGCTGCATTGGCATGATGGAGTCTTTGTTGCCAAGGGGAAGGAAGATGCCCTTTGTACCAAGAACAGGGTTGTCGGTGAATCCGTTTATGGTGAGAAGCGCGTTGCTGTGCAGGTGATTGTTCTTGGTTTTTATAAGCTTTTATTGATTATGGGGCACTTTTGTTGAGTCTGATGTCCAATTATGGTATGTTTTTGTAAAAGGACAAATCCATTGTTCGAGTACAGCAGGTCTTTGTGCTATGAACTTTTTTAGCATGTTATTTGTGATCCATTCAGAATATTTTCTACATGGTAGCTTTTAATATAATCTGATATCATTTACATGATCAGGTGTTTAAAAGAATCCTCAAAGCATATGCAACAAAACTTTATTCTCGATTACCCAAGGGGGGTTCAGGGCTAGTTGCAGCTGCTACTGGTACAAATGGGCAAATCAAGGTTATATAAGCACTCTTTTACTTGTTGCTTGTAAGTAACAATTCTTTTTGAAATTCTCTGATTTTGTTATGTAAGTTTACACTTATATTAATAAATCAATTACTTCCCTAAATTGCAGGTTCCTAGTGAGTATTTGACAGGTTCCTAGTGAAATTGGCGAAATTGGCGATTGAGGCTGACAGGTTCCTAGTGAGTATTTGACATTGAGGCACAAGTTTTTGGAAACAAATAGAGAATATAAAGTCTTTGACCGAGAAGTTTCATGTTTTGTAATCAAATGTTGATGTTGTTTGAATATTAGTTCGGTACGATATTTTCTGAGCTGAAATGTTGGTAGTGTGGATTTTATACTTTGTAGTTTTTATACTATACCGATGTATGTTGGCACTTATCATTATGGTTGATTATGCTCAACATTTTCACTTTGATATTGTGTATTTAAATTTGATTTGGGCCATGTTCTTAAAAAGATTGTCCAGATAATTGAATACTATATGATTTTGACGTAGGGAACCAAGAACAACTCAATCGGAGCCGTTGCAATAGCTCAATCAAAAACGCTGCAATAGCTCAATCAAAACTGTTGAGATAGCTCAATCCAAACCGTTGCGTTAGGTCTTTTAAAATTGTTGTAATAGCTAAAAAAAACCGCTGCAGTAGCTTAAAAACAGTCGCAATAGCTCAATCAAAACCGCTGCAATAGCTTAGAAACCGTCGCAATAGCTCAATCAAAACCGTTGCAATGGCTTAAAAACCGCTTGCCTTTTAAAACCGTTGCGTTAGATGCGGGGGCAACGGTTTAAAAAACCATCGCAATAGAGTTCAAAACCGTTACGGTAGAGGTAGGACAACGGCAGCATATGAGGCGGTTTGAGAACCATCGCACTTGCTCAAGGGCGACGGTTCCATGGCTAGCGCAACGGTTTTGAACCGTTGCGTTAGAGCAAATATGTGGTAGTGTGAAGTTTTTTTGGCTAATAATCTTAGCTCAAGCAACAAAATTTCTTATGGAATAATAGGTTCCTGATTCAAGTTCCCTTTTAAGAACAAATTTTCACTATAGACCCAAACCAAGTTTTAATTACCAAAATCGACCTATTTTTTTTAATTACCAAAATCGACTAATTAAGAAATGTGATTAATCTTACGTGGCATAAAATGGGTCGATTTTGGTAATTAAAAAAAATGGGTCGATTTTGGTAATTAAAACTTGGTTTGGGTCTACAGTGAAAATTTGTTCTCCCTTTTAATTAGAAAGAAAAGCAGCAAATATTGTTTTCGTGGTATCATATATGTGCAAGTAGTATCTAACGTAAAAGAACGCTAGAACTTCATAACTGAAATCATAACCCACTCTAATAAAAAATCCGGAAAATGATAAATGTACTATAGCTTACATATTATTTCTTTGGTACTACCACAAATAAAAGAGTGGAGTCCTTTCTTAAAAATTGTAAGACCACCCGCAACAGGTGGTTTTTGGGAGAGTTTTTTGGTACAGCAGGTAGTTTTTGGGATAGGGAAATGAAAAACGGAGGCAAAGAGGGGAAAATTTTCCCTACCGTTTTCTCTGCATAAATCTGACTCAAGCGGGCCCCACCATACAGCAGCTGGAATTAAAAAAGAAAGGAAAAAAAGCATGGCCCAATCAGAGGGCAACACGCGTTCGCGTGCAGGGCTGCTGACAGCCTTGTCCTGCACGCGGACGCGTGTTGCCCTCTAATTGGGCCATGCTTTTTTACCCCATCCTCAATTATTAATTGATATTTTGACAATAATTTACTCAGAATTAATTTTTTATTTTTGCACCATAATTCATAATTTTTCGAGCTCTATAAATAGAGCCTAACTTTGTATTATTTGGACACAAAAAAAAAAAGAGTTTTCAACACCCTATTTTCCTTCCTTTTTTTTCTGAAACTATTTTCTTCAATCTTCTTCATGGAGCCATCACAAAACTTTCCTAATTTCCCCTTCAATTACAACTTTTCTAATCAACCTCAACATCCAAATATGCAACGCTCAGAAAATAATCAAAATACCGGGATGCAACCCAATTTTCAAATGCCCTATATGATGCAACCAAATTTTGGCATGCAATACTCTTATCTTCCTTATGGGTATCAACCATCTTCTGGAAACAGTTATGTTCCTTCCCATATGAACGTTCCAAATCTGGAGTCGAGCCAGCCAACGACTCCTCGTTTCAGTAGTGGATCGACAGGCATCCCAGATTTTTCCACCCAGGTATCTTTGGGAAATGTTGGTGGGGATACTCCCCATAGTTTTCTACCTCCAACCCAACAATCAGTCAAGAAAACTACTTACGATACTTGGAGCACCGAAGACAACATCCTTTTGCTAACTGGTTATTTTCACGTTAGCAATGATAGTGAATTGGGTAACAATCAAAAAGGTGACACCTTTTGGGGTAAAATTAAAGACTACGTGAATGAGAACTCCAATAGTGGGAAAAAAGGACCGTAGCTCGATGCCAGAGTCATTTCCGTGACATTAACAGAAAGATAAGCAGTTTTGTTGGCTGTTACAGTACTGCTTGTAGAGAGAGGCGTAGTGGTTGGTCTGATGAAAACTACATATCCAAGGGGAAAAATTGAAGATGAGTTATCCAATCTAGCATCTGCTCGTGAAAACTATCAACAATCTATGGAAAGTACTGTTTCAGCGATGTTGGAGTACGCCGCAGGTCAGAAACAAGCTGCTTATGCTAAGAAGTTGGAGGTGTGGATGATCTTGAAGAACAAAGAAGATCGTGATGAAGAAGATGAGTATGTTTATAACACGTTGAAGAAGGATCTGTTTGATCTTTAAGTTCCATATTGTATGTTTTACTGTTTCAAATTGAAAGTGACATGTCTACCAACGTGCTTCTGATATTGAAAGTGACAAGTCTATGCACTATACTACAAAAATTAATCTGACCATGTCTTCCTACTTGCTTCTGAAAATTGAAAATGACTTGTCTACCCACTTGCTTCTGATATTGAAAGTGACAAGTCTATCCACTATACTACAAAAATGAATCTGGCCATGTCTACCAACTAGCTTCTGAAATTGAAAGTGACAAGACTAGCCACTATACTACAAAAATGAATCTGGCCATGTCTACCAACTAGCTTCTGAAATTAAAAGTGACAAGTCTAGCCACTATACTACAAAAATGAATCTGGCCAAATCTACCAACTAGCTTCTGAATTTTACTACAAAAATGAATCTGGACATATCTACCAACTAGCTTCTGAAATTGAACCATACCTAATCCTTTCATTCAACTTATTGGAATCCGTAGGTCATTCATTATAAATAATGTATCACACATCATATGAAAACCACTCACTATCAACACTTAGCAATTCAAACCTTCTTCTTCAAACAACCCAATGGATCTACCCCCAAATGGCTTTGATCTCGAAGAGTTCCAACGACAATGGGAGCTAGAAGGAAAAATACTTGATAGGCAGCAAGAACTTCTTGAAGAATTGCAAAGGAGAAGCGAACAACCCCATAAGAGAAAATCAATATATAGAGATCACCATGCTGCTCATGAGAGGCTCATGGCCGACTACTTTGTCGAGTCATGCACCTACACTGACGAACAATTCCGACGGAGGTATCGAATGAAGAGGCCACTTTTTTTGCGGATTGTGGACTCTATATCAAATTATGACAACTACTTCATTCAAAGACGCAATAATGTGGGAAAGCTTGGTTTAACGCCGATCCAAAAGTGTACGGCTTCCATACGCATGCTTGCATATGGAGTAGCAGCGGATACTTGTGATGAGTACGTGAAGATAGGGGAATCCACTGCAATTGAGTGTACTCGCAAGTTTTGTGAAGGGGTAATAGCCTGTTTTGGAGATGAATACTTAAGACGGCCAAATTTGGATGACTTGCAGAGGTTGCTCCAAGTTGGCCATGATCGTGGTTTTCCTGGGATGATTGGAAGTATCGATTGCATGCACTGACAATGGAAGAATTGTCCAAAGGCTTGGAAAGGGCAATTTACTAGTGGACACAAGGGAACAGCAACAGTTATCCTTGAGGCAGTTACCTCATATGATTTGTGGATATGACATGCTTTTTTTGGGTTGCCTGGTACATTAAATGACATAAATGTACAAGATAGGTCGCCAGTTTTCGACGACATTGAGTCGGGTGAAGCTCCAAGGGTAAACTTCACTGTGAATGGGAGACAATACAATCTTGCATACTATCTTGCTGACGGAATCTATCCTAAATGGCCTGTCTTCGTCCAGTCAATTCAAATGCCCCAAGGAAACAAACAGCAATTTTTTGCCAAACAACAAGAGTCATGCAGGAAGGACGTGGAACGCGCATTCGGGGTTCTCCAGGCACGGTTTGCTATTGTCCGCCAACCAGCTAGAATGTGGGACCTTGATGTCTTAGGGAAAATTATGAGGGCGTGCATTATTTTACATAACATGATAGTAGAGGATGAACGAGATACGTATTCCCGAAACTGGGAAAATCTAGACTTCGAACAGTCATCAGGCTCTAGTGCCTCTTTCAATGTTCAAACAGAAGTATTGCCTGAGTTTCAAGTGCATGTTCAAGGCCGGTCCGATTCGAATATTCCGACTAGAGCCGATCTGCGAGATAGGGTCCAACATATTCAGTTGAAGAAGGATCTGGTGGAGCACATATGGCAGAAATTTGGAACAACCCTCGATTAGATTTACCAATTTACTATGTGTTTTCTTCAATATTTTTAATAATTCGTGTATGTTTGGTATTGGGTGTGATTAATAATATCGTGTGTTTTGTTTTTATTTTTTTTGAATTTTTGATATAAAAAAGTAAATTAAAAATATATTATTAAATATTATATATTTTTTATTGCATTATTAAAAAAATTAATAATTATAAATATATGAATAATAATTTTAATAATAATAATAACATATATCAAATAGGGAAAAAGAAATGAATAAATATGGTGGAGAAATATGGTGGGGTATATGATGGAGACATGTGGGTCCCTAATAAAGTAAAAAACTTTCTGAAAAACTAGCTGCTGCAGGAATGGAAGGGAAATGGGTGTTATTGAATGATGTGTTGGATGAATAAGCTGATGTGGCATGACAAAATAGGTAAAAATTTGCCTACCTGCTGGAGATGGTCTAAATAAAAAAGTGATGAAATATCATGATGACTTTGCTCTTTTATTTGTATAACAGTGACAAAATAGTATGAAAAATGTAGTAAACTTACCATTAGCCAACCAATCCTATTAGTTCATGGAGACAAACTGTACAGGGTCGAACCGGGTACGAATGTTGTTACGTGATAAAACCGATAGATAAGGATCCGACCCGTTCCATCAAACTCCAAACTCCAATGCCCCAGGTCCATTCATATTCTGGAATCAAAATCCATGTTATAAATTTTAAAAAAAGACTAATGCCCTGTTTGGATGGAGGATAGAGAGAGGGAGGGGAAGAGAAATGTAGCTTTCACCCTGTTTGGGAGTTTTTGTAAGGAGGATAGAGAGGATGAAGGAAAGGGAACGGAGGGTAAAATTGCTTGGTTTTCTCCCCCCCCCTCCCTTTTCTGACAGTAGAGGAGGGTAAAGGAGGGTGAAAGGTATAATGATAATCTTACCCCCATCAAAACAAATAAAAAGACTAATGTATTATTAATATAAGATCATTTGTGTAAATTTACATATATTTCATTCCCTTCCCTTCCCTCCATTATTACTCCCAAACAAGTTATATTAATTCATCTTACTCAACTCCCAAACAACTTATAACAATTCTCTTTGCTTTCCTTCGCTTCCCTTGCCTTTGTTTAGCTTCCCTTCCCTTCTCTTGTAGTAAACTCCCAAACACACCATAATAAATGCTAAATTTGCCCCAAATTCTGGTGATTTCGCCATGAAAGCGGCGAAGAAATCAGCGGTGCTGTATCACTACCCGTGCCCTGACGGAGCTTTCGCAGCCCTAGCGGCCTATCTCTACTTCAAAGCCGCGTCTTTGCCCGTCGCTTTCTTTCCCAACACTGTCTATGATCCCATCAAGTAAGTGCTTTTCCTCAATTTTTTTAGAAGTTGATCGAAAATTTTGAAATTTGAACCTTAGGAACCCGTAAACCAAACTCTTAGCGCGCACAAAACTAAAACCTAAACCCTAGCTTGCTTTTGAAGTAGCTGTTTTAACTGGATAATCCATGGACTTGGGTTTGAGAATGGGAAAGTTAATTTCTTTTGATACCCTAAGATGACTTTTTTGAACATTGGGGTATTTTTTGATCAAAGAAAAAACTTCAGACTATCAAAGTTAAAACTGGTGTAACTTTGGAATATTTAAGTGCAAATAGCGGGAAAAATTGCAGGAGCATCAAGGTGAAGAAGAAATAAGAAAAGAAACTAAACTGGATTTAGTTGGTGAGGAGATAGATCAGGGTTGTCCGCAAGGTTTTAAATATCGGTTATCGGGAATGTATCGGACGACCAAAATTCTTATCGGATAGCGGAAATCGGGGATATATCGGGGATAAGTAGTATTTATCGGAGTGATATACTAGATGGTGTATATATATAATATAATAACTAAAAAATATAATCTAACCATGCTTAATGAAATATAAACATACCAAAATGTAAATCATCATGTTTATAATCACTAACCAATTGTAGAAAGCAAAACTTGCATCTTGACCGCACGATGAAACCATTCGATTGCATAGCCTTACTTATCGGCCGATAATCCCGATAAAAAAACCTTACTTATCGGCCGATAAGTACCGATAACACCGATAACTCCCCGATAACTTGCCAAAAACGATAACCGATTAAAAATCCAAGTTATCCTATCGGAGAGCTCCCAAATCCGATAACTCGGCCGATAATATCGGTTATCGGCCGATATTTAAAACAGTGGTTGTCCGGAGGTAGGTTGGTTTCAGAAGAGTGCGAAACAGCTCCGCTATAAGGATCTTGGGCAAATGTAGCAGGTTTAGGTTCATGATCAAACGACAACACATTCAGCGCTTGCTCCAATGGTGGATCAGCTAAGGTGTTTAGGTAGTGATTTAGCAATGCAAGGGTGGCACATGAGTTTGCGACAAGGGATATCGGCTATTTGGGGGATGCAGATGTTGTGTAGCAGTATGGTGATCAGTGGAAACATACACTACAACAAAAGTTGTGACCTGCGATACTTTTCTTTGCCATCTCGAGACACATTTTCGTTTCACATAAATGAAGAGCGACACAAGACGAAAGTATGAGTAGAGCATGTGTGCAGAGGGTTCTTCTACACATGGGAATGTGTCGCAAAATCCCCGACACATGCATTATATGTCGAGAATGGCGACACAAACATGTGTCTACTCATATTTTTATTTTCAAATTTTTTCGCTCATAAATCATTTGATTTTCTAATCCCATTAGTTCATCTCTAATGGGGCCCAACCCACTTAAACCTATCACCATTCTAATTGAAGCTCACTTACATAAATCACGACAGAGTTATCACCGAGTAACCTCACGGTTTGAATAAAGTCGCCTAATGACTTTGTTTATGCATCTAGCTGTCTGACCAATATCATCTTATCAATCAAGTTTAAACAACTTAATTTCGTTGGGGCTGAATGATATGGGACTAATTTCCCATTGGTGTATACATAATTATGTTCTCAAGGTCTAAAAGCTCGGCACAAATTTGTGTCGCAAGTGTCAATTACCATTTTTTTATTGATTTTTATTCTAGTTTGCATCTCACGACACAAACAAGTGTGTGTTCGAAGTCAACGAGCCAATCCGCGGGTGAAGCCTTTTTGTTTCCGCTGGTGCTCTCCAGCCACACAACTATTTGTGTGGAGATATTTGTGTCGCAAGTTGCACTTTTTGATGTAGTGATATATGCATGTACATAGCTTGTTGCACTTTTTGATGTAGTGATATATGCATGTACATAGCTTGTTGCACTTTTTGATGTAGTGATATATGCATGTACATAGCTTGTTGCACTTTTTGATGTAGTGATATATGCATGTACATAGCTTGTTGCACTTTTTGATGTAGTGATATATGCATGTACATAGCTTGCGGCATTGAGGCGGTGAACGGCCTATGGTGGCATTGACAAAGTGTGGATGGATATTAGAGGTCGTGCCGTGAGGAATGGTAATCATGAACAACTGTTACATGTTGCAGGAGGTTGTTGGCTTGATGATTCAATATGGCGGTCAACAATGAGGTGAGCCATTGGACAAGGGACAAGTTATTGCATGTGATGTTGACTTCGCATTCGTCACACACAAAGGACCATGGGAGGATTTTCAGTGAGCTTCCCCTCACTTAACTGCTGGTGAGCAGTGGAGGAGGCTTCCGAGGCATACCAGTGGTCGTTCATGAGTTGTGACAAAGATAACAACCATGAACCTTTGGAGGCATCGACGACGAATGATGAAATTGCTTGCTATTTGGTCGAGATCTAGATATGAGATACGACTTTCTCATGGCTTGTGGCTAACGCTTGGTTTGGTAGGAGGTTTAAGGAGAGGAGGAGAGGTTAAATGGGGTGCAATAAGATGGAGGAATGTGCATCCCTTTTAGCCTTTACGTTTGGTAGGACGAAGGGTGAGAGGAGGTGAATGATTTTTAGTGCATTTTCTCTCGTGTCCTCTCAATTTGGGAGCACTCTTCTCTCTTAACTTTTTAGTTTTTTTTCTTTGTCTTGTCCCTCACCTCACCTCTCCCTCCAAAAACTCTCAACCAGATATAAAATTTTAATTTTGTCTCTCACATTGCCTCATGACCTCCTACCAAACCATGCCTAAGGAGTCATAGACTGGAAAAGTTACATGAGAAGCTTTTCATGTGAGATATAGTAAAAGTAAGTTTGGTGTTTGGTTACTTTGGTATAATATGTTTGACGATACAACTACCATATTTCTAATGTAATACAAATCTAAAATATTGGTGCTTTATAGGGAAAAACATTGATGTGGATTTGAATTGTTGTTGGCTCCAAACAACGAATACCAAGTAAATACCAAGTGGAGCCAATTAACACATAAGAAGGTTGGTTTTTTGGTTGACAAACAAAGTTTATCGGTGTTGGATTAGGAAATTAGTGTTGAATTTTGGTGATGCATATGTGTAACCCTTTGTATTTCAGCCTCCATATACAGTGGAGTTATTATGGAATGTGAAAATCAAAGTGAAGTGGGAGGGCAACATTTAGGTTTTAAGGACTTTATCATTAAAACCCGTTTATTTAAAAAATAACAAAAGTTGAAATAAAGAAATAAAGGAAAGAAAACTAGAAGTGAAAGTTGTAAAAAATATTGTTTGATATTTATGTGCAATAGAATAGTGTTAGGTAGACCTTCTTATTATAGCGGGTTACCACTTAACTCTTTTATTAACACTTAGCCCTTTTGAAGTCTAAATGAAGTCATCTCATTGTTATTTTCACCTGTATTATACAAAATGCAAACATGCGTAAAAAATGAAGACACTAATCTCATGGTAATTGGCAATGTATTTTAAAAAATAAAAAATAAAAAATGTGTTATTCTTCTTGAAATGCACACTTTTTGAGTTGATGATCTTTGTAATGATATCATATGAACCTCTATTGTCAGATAACTTGCAGGATCTCATGTTATATTTATTTGATAAATGAATTATAAAATATTGTTAACAAAATGATGCAGTTCAGCTTATTTTCTTCCGAATTAATTTCTCATTGGTGTTAGACTAACCAGAGTTAACCTTTTAATTGCAACATCCAATAAAATGCAATTGGTTTAAAATGCTTAGGTTGGGGCACCACTTGTATTACATATTACGATGGCTTGACCTCAAACTTCTCTGATAGACATAAGCTTTTCTGAGTCCAGTGTTCTACGTGCCCCACCTGATGCACATGTAACACTACCTATGCTTCTTATGGGATCTTGAATTAGAGCACAATGATCTTAAATTCTTCAACCATGACGTATGATGCATGACACAATCACTGGTCAGATTTGATTCACATTGCAAATAGATTTGTTATGATTTTAGATTTGTCTTTGGCTTTAGATAGGTGAGAATTAGTTATTTTGTTTAGTTGTTTTGATTTGAATTGTGTTAGGATTGAGTATGTTGAATTATTTCATGGTTAAGATTGAATTGATTTTAGAGATAGGGTAAGTTTTTTGAATTTCTTTCAGATGAGAATTCCAAACTCTATAAAAGATGGAGGAGATTTTTGTAATGTAGTAGAGAGTTTATGATTAATAAAATACTATGTACGTGAGATTTTGAAGTGATTCCTCAAGGCGTAAAACAATCTTCCGAGTTAGATGTCTGTGTGTGAAACCGATCTAACCATTCTTTTATCTTTCTTTAGTTTGTTTTTTTTAATTAAATAAAAAGAGGGAAAGTCACTGTTCATCCGTGATTACTGTTCACTCGGGTTACTGCTTATCTTGGAATTTTTCTCGGTGCCTTTCATTCCCCATCAGCTTACCTTTTATTGAAAATGGATTGCATGCCGGGGAACTTGACTAACCTAAAGCTACCAATAAAAAAATTCTTATCGGATAGCGGAAATCGGGGATATATCGGGGATAAGTAGTATTTATCGGAGTGATATACTAGATGGTGTATATATATAATATAATAACTAAAAAATATAATCTAACCATGCTTAATGAAATATAAACATACCAAAATGTAAATCATCATGTTTATAATCACTAACCAATTGTAGAAAGCAAAACTTGCATCTTGACCGCACGATGAAACCATTCGATTGCATAGCCTTACTTATCGGCCGATAATCCCGATAAAAAAACCTTACTTATCGGCCGATAAGTACCGATAACACCGATAACTCCCCGATAACTTGCCAAAAACGATAACCGATTAAAAATCCAAGTTATCCTATCGGAGAGCTCCCAAATCCGATAACTCGGCCGATAATATCGGTTATCGGCCGATATTTAAAACAGTGGTTGTCCGGAGGTAGGTTGGTTTCAGAAGAGTGCGAAACAGCTCCGCTATAAGGATCTTGGGCAAATGTAGCAGGTTTAGGTTCATGATCAAACGACAACACATTCAGCGCTTGCTCCAATGGTGGATCAGCTAAGGTGTTTAGGTAGTGATTTAGCAATGCAAGGGTGGCACATGAGTTTGCGACAAGGGATATCGGCTATTTGGGGGATGCAGATGTTGTGTAGCAGTATGGTGATCAGTGGAAACATACACTACAACAAAAGTTGTGACCTGCGATACTTTTCTTTGCCATCTCGAGACACATTTTCGTTTCACATAAATGAAGAGCGACACAAGACGAAAGTATGAGTAGAGCATGTGTGCAGAGGGTTCTTCTACACATGGGAATGTGTCGCAAAATCCCCGACACATGCATTATATGTCGAGAATGGCGACACAAACATGTGTCTACTCATATTTTTATTTTCAAATTTTTTCGCTCATAAATCATTTGATTTTCTAATCCCATTAGTTCATCTCTAATGGGGCCCAACCCACTTAAACCTATCACCATTCTAATTGAAGCTCACTTACATAAATCACGACAGAGTTATCACCGAGTAACCTCACGGTTTGAATAAAGTCGCCTAATGACTTTGTTTATGCATCTAGCTGTCTGACCAATATCATCTTATCAATCAAGTTTAAACAACTTAATTTCGTTGGGGCTGAATGATATGGGACTAATTTCCCATTGGTGTATACATAATTATGTTCTCAAGGTCTAAAAGCTCGGCACAAATTTGTGTCGCAAGTGTCAATTACCATTTTTTTATTGATTTTTATTCTAGTTTGCATCTCACGACACAAACAAGTGTGTGTTCGAAGTCAACGAGCCAATCCGCGGGTGAAGCCTTTTTGTTTCCGCTGGTGCTCTCCAGCCACACAACTATTTGTGTGGAGATATTTGTGTCGCAAGTTGCACTTTTTGATGTAGTGATATATGCATGTACATAGCTTGTTGCACTTTTTGATGTAGTGATATATGCATGTACATAGCTTGCGGCATTGAGGCGGTGAACGGCCTATGGTGGCATTGACAAAGTGTGGATGGATATTAGAGGTCGTGCCGTGAGGAATGGTAATCATGAACAACTGTTACATGTTGCAGGAGGTTGTTGGCTTGATGATTCAATATGGCGGTCAACAATGAGGTGAGCCATTGGACAAGGGACAAGTTATTGCATGTGATGTTGACTTCGCATTCGTCACACACAAAGGACCATGGGAGGATTTTCAGTGAGCTTCCCCTCACTTAACTGCTGGTGAGCAGTGGAGGAGGCTTCCGAGGCATACCAGTGGTCGTTCATGAGTTGTGACAAAGATAACAACCATGAACCTTTGGAGGCATCGACGACGAATGATGAAATTGCTTGCTATTTGGTCGAGATCTAGATATGAGATACGACTTTCTCATGGCTTGTGGCTAACGCTTGGTTTGGTAGGAGGTTTAAGGAGAGGAGGAGAGGTTAAATGGGGTGCAATAAGATGGAGGAATGTGCATCCCTTTTAGCCTTTACGTTTGGTAGGACGAAGGGTGAGAGGAGGTGAATGATTTTTAGTGCATTTTCTCTCGTGTCCTCTCAATTTGGGAGCACTCTTCTCTCTTAACTTTTTAGTTTTTTTTCTTTGTCTTGTCCCTCACCTCACCTCTCCCTCCAAAAACTCTCAACCAGATATAAAATTTTAATTTTGTCTCTCACATTGCCTCATGACCTCCTACCAAACCATGCCTAAGGAGTCATAGACTGGAAAAGTTACATGAGAAGCTTTTCATGTGAGATATAGTAAAAGTAAGTTTGGTGTTTGGTTACTTTGGTATAATATGTTTGACGATACAACTACCATATTTCTAATGTAATACAAATCTAAAATATTGGTGCTTTATAGGGAAAAACATTGATGTGGATTTGAATTGTTGTTGGCTCCAAACAACGAATACCAAGTAAATACCAAGTGGAGCCAATTAACACATAAGAAGGTTGGTTTTTTGGTTGACAAACAAAGTTTATCGGTGTTGGATTAGGAAATTAGTGTTGAATTTTGGTGATGCATATGTGTAACCCTTTGTATTTCAGCCTCCATATACAGTGGAGTTATTATGGAATGTGAAAATCAAAGTGAAGTGGGAGGGCAACATTTAGGTTTTAAGGACTTTATCATTAAAACCCGTTTATTTAAAAAATAACAAAAGTTGAAATAAAGAAATAAAGGAAAGAAAACTAGAAGTGAAAGTTGTAAAAAATATTGTTTGATATTTATGTGCAATAGAATAGTGTTAGGTAGACCTTCTTATTATAGCGGGTTACCACTTAACTCTTTTATTAACACTTAGCCCTTTTGAAGTCTAAATGAAGTCATCTCATTGTTATTTTCACCTGTATTATACAAAATGCAAACATGCGTAAAAAATGAAGACACTAATCTCATGGTAATTGGCAATGTATTTTAAAAAATAAAAAATAAAAAATGTGTTATTCTTCTTGAAATGCACACTTTTTGAGTTGATGATCTTTGTAATGATATCATATGAACCTCTATTGTCAGATAACTTGCAGGATCTCATGTTATATTTATTTGATAAATGAATTATAAAATATTGTTAACAAAATGATGCAGTTCAGCTTATTTTCTTCCGAATTAATTTCTCATTGGTGTTAGACTAACCAGAGTTAACCTTTTAATTGCAACATCCAATAAAATGCAATTGGTTTAAAATGCTTAGGTTGGGGCACCACTTGTATTACATATTACGATGGCTTGACCTCAAACTTCTCTGATAGACATAAGCTTTTCTGAGTCCAGTGTTCTACGTGCCCCACCTGATGCACATGTAACACTACCTATGCTTCTTATGGGATCTTGAATTAGAGCACAATGATCTTAAATTCTTCAACCATGACGTATGATGCATGACACAATCACTGGTCAGATTTGATTCACATTGCAAATAGATTTGTTATGATTTTAGATTTGTCTTTGGCTTTAGATAGGTGAGAATTAGTTATTTTGTTTAGTTGTTTTGATTTGAATTGTGTTAGGATTGAGTATGTTGAATTATTTCATGGTTAAGATTGAATTGATTTTAGAGATAGGGTAAGTTTTTTGAATTTCTTTCAGATGAGAATTCCAAACTCTATAAAAGATGGAGGAGATTTTTGTAATGTAGTAGAGAGTTTATGATTAATAAAATACTATGTACGTGAGATTTTGAAGTGATTCCTCAAGGCGTAAAACAATCTTCCGAGTTAGATGTCTGTGTGTGAAACCGATCTAACCATTCTTTTATCTTTCTTTAGTTTGTTTTTTTTAATTAAATAAAAAGAGGGAAAGTCACTGTTCATCCGTGATTACTGTTCACTCGGGTTACTGCTTATCTTGGAATTTTTCTCGGTGCCTTTCATTCCCCATCAGCTTACCTTTTATTGAAAATGGATTGCATGCCGGGGAACTTGACTAACCTAAAGCTACCAATAAAGTAAAATGTTAAACTGTCAATTTTCAAGCGTATTAGTTTTGTAGTGACATGAAAATGCATCCTCTTATTGCAGTTTAATGAGTGTTATAAATATTACTTAGGTTGGCTTCCATTGTAATTTGATACAATAGGATAATAAACTTGGCACTGAAACATAAGAATAGATATGTTAGAGCTTTATTATTATTGCCCAAGCTTCTGATCTAACCTAAATTTAAACTATTCCTTCTCTTTTCAGGGCTGGGAATCTTCCAGTGGATGAGCTTAGTGATGTTTATCTCCTAGATTTTGTTGGACCTTCTGGTTTTGTTGCTGAAATATCTACAAAAGTTGAGAGGTTCGTCTCCTAAATCCTAATCCTTGTTTCCATTTTTTTTCGCCTCTTCTCTATGATGTGTATCACACACATATATAGCCTACTCGAAGTAATCTTGTAATACTGTAATTATTGTCTTTAAGGTTTTACAGTAAATTGCATGTGTATGCTCTAAAGTACTGATAGCATGCACTAGAGTTATTGCCTTTATCGAAAGGTTCGAACAGCACTAAGAGCAGTTCCTGTTAATTTAATAGTCTCTATGTTTTGGTATCTGGAAATTATTTTCTTACTATAATTTAGTTGATAATTCTGAGGTCTTTGTTGTTTATGTTAACTTTAATTAATTAATTTTTTTTCCTTCCTTCTTTTTTCTAGTGTGACAATCCTAGACCATCACAAAACTGCGTTTGAAGCTTTATCTGGAAATTCTTCCATTGGCTCAAATGTGACTAAGATAATCGATATGAAGAGAAGTGGGGCTACAATTGCCTATGACTACTTCAGAGAAAAGCTTTTTGGAAAAACTGATGTTTCAAGAGTGGGTGATAGTGCTGGTATTGGAGTTAACTTTGTTCCAGATAGTGATCTTGAAAGGGTAAATAGGCTTTTTAAATTTATTGAAGATGCAGATCTTTGGAGATGGGCGCTCCCACTTAGCAAAGCTTTCAACAGTGGTTTAAAAGATATGAATATAGAATACAATGTGAATTTGAACAAAGCTTTATTTGATCAGGTTTGCAACTCTTTTCAACTTGATTCTGGATTTGATGGTTGTATATATCCGAGGACTCCTTAGGTTTTCTTGCATTATCGTTGCTGTAATCTGGTTAGCTACAATTTTTCTGTCTTCACTTGGAACATTTAGTTATTTGCCGAATTTTTCTTGATTATAGAAGACATTACATATTACATAAATAGGAAATTTAAGAAACAGTGAAGATGCTGGGACACAAAAGGTTTGTCCAGTTTTTGGCTGCTTGTTCACTGAAAATACACATATTCTCATAATAATAGACTGATAAATCATTGCTCAAGGAGTTATGCAATAGCTAATAAGTTCTGCGGCATTTAGTCAAGGAAAGACACGCCCTATTTCATTTGAAACCAGGACTTGTAATTTACTGATCAACCAATCGTGCAAAGAATGTACTATAGATACTATGCTTTTGAATCCTTGTTCTTTCTCAGGTGCTCAAGCTATTGATGGGTTGAGGTTAACTACCAATATTTCCTTTCAGTTCAGTTGACATGTTATATGGAGCCCAGTTCTCAGAATTTCAATTTTAACCAAGCCTTTTGGAGAAACTCAATGTTATGTTACATCCCACCTTAAAAACTAAGATTTTCGTCACATAAGCATGTCAAATACGTAATTTGACAATTTTCTAGAATAATCTAGAGCATCCTGGAAGTGTCTAGAATGTTCTAGAGCCTTTTGGAACAATCCGGAATGTGGAGAGTCCTCTAGAATATGGTAGAATGTTCTAGAATAGTGTAGAGTGTACTAAAAGAAAACAGAGTGTAGTAGAATGTAATAGCATGTTGTAGAAAACTCTAGAAAAGTATGAAAGAAGAAGAGGTGTACATAGTTCTAGAGAACTCCAACTATGGAGGGTTGAGGGCTATAAATAGGAGAGGAGTCTCACTTGTCAAACCATCCCTCCAAAGCTTGTAAACTCTCTTGAGTATAAGTGTCCCATTTATTCCTCTTTTGCTTTGCTCTCATGTTCATCTAGTTAGTTTGCTTGTGTAAGTGATACAAAGGCTGAATTTAGTCAGTTATTAGTGAGAGACTTGCTAAGTGCCGCACGTGAGCTTAGAAAAAAGCTTAAGTCCATGAGTCATGACAACTAGCTAGATATAAAGTGATTTCCCCTTTTCTGCACTTTACAACTAGAATTATATTGAAAAATATGTTCGTCTTGGTAGTTGCCTAAGTTTCATGGAAATGAGTATGGGTACTGGTACTGATGCGGGCCACATGGCAAAATGGTGAAATGCAAGGTGCATAGACATGCCTATATATATATAGATAGAGACATGCCTAAGTTTCAAACGGTCTTATTTGAAAATAACCATCCTTTAATTATCTAACCCATGTGCACCAATGTGAATGTGGTTCCCTCTTTAAATAAGTGGATGGGAATGAGCAACCTCACTACCTAGCATCAAGTTTGTGCTTGGTCTAAGCATACCCATATTCCTTATATATATATATGTATTGAAATTAATAATTTACAAGAGATCATCGGTATTTTTCAATTCAAGTGCTATTTGAATTTAAATTCCTAGCATAATTTGGAAACTGCTCATTTTTTAACTTGTCATTCAAACCACCATTTTAAATCATAGCTTTTATCTTGGTATGGGTTGGAAAACAAACCTGAACCATGTCTAACGAATTTCAAGAAATGGACATGAAGTATAGGACATACGTCCAAGAAGTGTATGACAAGTTTTTTAAATTAAAACATATATGATGTAGTTGAGCACATGCCTCAATAAATGTTGCATATATCCAAGGAGTGTGCTTGAGGTTTGGGTATGGGTACGTGTCGGGTACGAGCACGGCTACGGCTTCATGATAGAAGTACCCAGGTAACATTGGTAGTTGCTGAGCCAACTATATGTGGTTGGTGGCTAGGCCAAGATATGCTCATGGACCCTTAGTAGATGCTCATAGTCTGCTTGATCTAGGCATGAAATCTAATTGTGTGTGCGAATTCGTAGGTCTAAGAAACTAGACTAGTAATTTTTTCAGAATTTAGACCTATCAAGCTCTTTGCAGAAATATGCAGGTTTCTGTTGGAAAAAGCAGTTTTTTTGTTATTTTTTTGATGTCACAAAGGTTAACATTACGAGTGATCCATAAGCAACAAGAATGCCTGAACAAGAAAGATCCTTTTGAGGAATCTTAAAATCAACACAACTTTCTGTTGGGAGTTAATGGAAGCCTACTCGTTAAAATTGTTCGGTTGCATCTGGAAACCAACTGTTCAACATGCCTTGGAAGATTTATGGCACATTCTTTTGCCCATGATTTCCTTTGGCTATGATTATTTCTAAAACTTAATCAGATGTATAGCCAGTATCATTCAAATTGTCAGTTCTCTGGAGCTTTCTCATACTTGAATCATTGTCTTCAGACATCTGCATTTTAGTGGGTGGAGGTTTCAACTGTTACAATGTGAGAGTATGTCCCTTTCAAGATCTTTAAGACTTTAGCCAATATGACATTTCCCACTAGTAGGAAGCATGACCACATCCCTATGATCTTGGTGATTCACAATTGTGATGTTTGCTATTGTTCCTTCTTGACTGGAACTTATTCCCTTTCTGCCCCTATTTATAAGATCTATAAACACACTTTTTCTTTCCTTTTATATTCATATAGTCACATGATCCTTGTTGGTCTGCATCCAGTAGTGTATTGTGGTTCGCCCTTCTTGTTGTAAGAAGTTGTCTCTGTTACCCATAGTCACAAGTCCTGTGTATGGAATTTATTAGGCGAGGGTTAAAAGTTCAGAACTTGCGAAAGATCCAGAAGACCAAAAATTATTCGGGAGTAGTTCAGTGCTATTATTGTATAGGAGTATTATTCTTCGTATTTATGCCTGATAGCAATTATCTATGTAGAACAATGGTTAGTACATTATAATGGCAATGAATATGCTTGTTCAGTTATTGGGATGTGTGACGTATCCTTATGAAATAAATCATGCAAAATTCGTGGATTTAACATTTAAGTTGTGTATTATTTACAAGTACTTCACTGAAGTTCAGCTATTGCAAATTATTCACAAGTAGACTTGTTCCTTAATATTGTGATTCGCTTATTATTCACAAATTCTCAAATTATTAATGAATACTGTGATTATGGTTACAGCTGCTTTTGCATGCCATGTGCACCTTTTACTTTTCATGGCTGTTGTCTCCTGTTTGTATTACAGACTCCTGAAAGCTCTAAGATTATGGGAAGAACTTTTTAATCTGTATTTCAAATATTTTATGCATTCTGTATTTGAATTTATCCAGGTAATTAGTTTTAAAGCAATTTCAAATCTGTTTTCAGCTATTTGCATTGGATCCTGAGTATATCATTAGTCATGGGCAAAATACACTGTTGCACAAGCAAGAGTTAATAGAGAAAGTTCTGGAGCAGTCTTATGAGATTGTACTTGGAAGTGGGCGCTTTGGTCATTGCTTGGTATGCACATTCTTGTGGCTAATTCATTTAACTCCACATACTTTTCTTTCAGTAACGATTTTGCTTATTAAACTTGAACTTGAACATGGAAAGAACTCAAAGAAGTATCAATGTGATTTAACGTTTTCTTTTTGTAAGATGTGAACAATATTTTGAATATATCTTATTGTCATGAAGACCATCTAAGCGTCCTTGTTGCATACTAAGAGCATGTAAGATAAACTTGGGATATGTAATAACTTGGTGTCTATACCTACTCATTTTGTCGAATAGAGTGAACCCTGATGGGTAGAAAAATGCTTTAAATCTCATGTTACTGTCTAGTTTGTTAGGAAATAACATTTATAGGTTGATTTTGATGGTTTCTTCAATTGTGCCAAACTCTTTTTCTTTGTGATTGAATAAATGTATGGACAACACATGGAACCTTTTCAATTTTCGCAATTCTGATTGCTCCTTGGTAGTGTTTCTCTTATCTACGTGCTAACGTTTTACCTCAACTTTGATCTATGGTATGTTCCTTTGGCCCTAGTGTTACATGCATTGCAAACTTGCATGTATACAGATTTATTCCTTGCAATCTTGCTCCAAAATCCAAATAACTGTTCTCTTTTAACTTATAATATGTTTAGGCAGTTGATGCTGATTCCATTTCAAACCTCAGGAGCGAGCTAGGAGACCAGCTAGCCAATAAGAGCCGCAATCTAAAATTGAGGTGAGGGTTCTGTGCATCATTTGGCAGTTTTCAATCAAAATTGGGGTCAGGTTTCTGCATTATTTGGTATTTTTCAATCATATTCTTGTTTAACCTTTCTCATTTGATGAAATCTAGTTATCCACCTAGTTAGCAGTCGCTTTATGCAACTGTCAAACAAAGTTTAATATTCAACTTAGATAACAGAAACGTACCCTTATCAGACTTAAAAAAATAATTTCTAATATATTCAACTCCAAACTTGTATTTAAATTTGAACTCGTCCTCTATGTGCACATTGTGAACATGTATGCGAACTAATAGTCACACAAAGTCATTTATGTACGTGCATTTATACATTTGTGCAGGGTTCTATTTGTGTGTGTCGATGCCTTGATGTATCCATCTATGCAGTTAAGTATGTATATAAGGAGCAGCTTACTTACTCCTAGGGTAACTAACTTAGTTATGCCCACATACAGAAAATGTGTATTGTGCAATAAAATTGGATGATCAACTCTGTTCAATTTTATCTACATTTCTTAAAAAGTTTATTTTCTTAAAAAGTTTATTGATAAAAGGACCATGAAATTTAAGCATATAATATCCATGTTTAAGTGGTTAGTTACTATGATACACTTGAGAGACCTCTTAGTGTATGAGTTTGGTTATTTCAACAGATGATCCATTTTGTTCATCATGATCTGCACTTCTTAAAGCATTTATAAATAAGAAATATTGACATTCTAAGACTTTGTAATCCATGTTTCATGCTATAAATTTAGTTTTTTCTGACAAATAGCTTTAGTTGTATTGTTGTAAAGCATTAATTTTACAACCTCTTGATGTCTCAATGTGCCTACTTTTTTAATAAAAAAGACCCCTAAATCTTCTTTATTTTTATTTTAGACCCCCAAATCTTGGTATTTCAAAATAAGACCCCCAATTCCTCTAAGTTGTTTCAAAAAGGACCTCATGAACGATTACCATCCAAACTCTTTACCTAAAAATGGTTAACTCTTTTCCATATTGAGTAAAATACAGTAATAACCTTTCGAAGCCCAAGTTCAATCTCCCTTTACCTTTGTTTCATAATTCTTATGTCCCTCTTCTCTAATTTCCCTGATCTCTCCCTATTTCCTCTCAAAATATCAATTCTGTTAGGCTTTAAGATTCCAATACTCATAGATCGTAAGAGCGGGAGAGTGTGAGAGAGGGACCTTGAGGAGAAAGAACGGAAACTGAAGGAGAAAAATAAGAGGGTTTGGGGGGGGGGGGGGGAGGGGGGGGGGGAGGAGGGTCCAGCAACCATTTAAGCTGTGCTAAATCTTGCATGAGCATGGGCATAATGGTCCATAAATGAAAATCTCTTAACATTATTAGAGAAATTTTGCAATTAAGGTTAAATCTAACCTAGGTGGTCTTTTTTGAAACAACTAAGGTTGTGCTTGAATGTAAGGAATTGATTTGAACTTCTAGAATTCAATTCTAGAATTTAAAATCTGTAAATCCAATTCAGCTGTTTGGGAATCATTAGAATTTCAATTCTAGAATTCTCAATTCTAAATTTATTGTTTGGAAAACATTAGAATTCCAATTCTAGAATTTTCAAATGGTTTAACCTAATAATCGCCATAATAAATGGGTTAAGTTTAGAAAAAAAAATCCCAACTATGGGGATGTATCAGAAAACCCCTTAACTGTTTTAATTTGAGTAAACCCTTCTCAAGCTTGAGGGCATCGTAGATAACCCTCCCTCAACTTTGAAATTTTGATTTAATTATATTAATAACGACCAACGTTAAGCATCAATATCATTCTATAAATTCATCCACTACCATACAACTATATCAATTATTAAAGCCGAAGCTTCAAACATTATATTGAACATTTCAACAAAACCAAATATCTAAAGCATCCAACAAACATAGATACCAACACAAGTAAATATATCCCTACCATAAGTGACAAATTTAAGTAGCCTCACACAATTATTCATAAGCAGAGTTTTTCTAAAGCTCCTTTTCCATTTGACTTAAATAAAAGTTTTCTTCCAAGTTCTTGCGTACTTTCACTATACATTTCTCCATTTTTGCTTCCTCTGCTCGGTTTCAGAGGCATGTCAACTTCTGCGAGGTCTTCAATCACCTGAAACAACAACAATAGACCAATCATCTTTCACCATTGTGAGTCTTTCTCAAGGGCATAAGAGAAAAACAAAATAGTTCAGACTGGCATCTCAAATCTCCTTATCAGTCGCGTTTCACATGGGGTTAGTGTGAACTGGCTAAAGGTTCAATAAAGCCAAACCAAGCTAGAAAGAAACCTATCATGATATCTATCTAAAGATCAAACAAGATGAAAATTACTATATATTCCTGACTCATGTATTCCTTTTTAGAAATTTTATACAGGTGATAATCTAGAGAACAATAACTTGGACATGCTGCTAACATCAAAAGTTGCAGTTCTTACCTGCTTTACCATACTCCTTTCAAAATTTTAAGTTTCTAGACTAAACCTTGTTTCATCTTGTTATAATTTGATCATGTTACTAACATATAATTCATTCACTCTATATCAATTCTCTCCCTCAGTGAATATTGAAGACATTTTAAGCCCATAAAACAAGACCAATTGAAAACTAGATAAGATTCATAATTGCATAGACAACTGCATGCATAGATATGAGTTAACCATATAACCATCCTGGTACTTGCCAATACAAAAACAAATTAGTAAATCAGGAAAGTTTTCTACAACACTAAAAAATACAACAAATTACTACGAACCAAACACCAAACAATCGAAGAAATATTATCATCAGGCTGCAAATGTCTTAACCCTATCTGCAACAGCTATTGAATATCATTGACAATTGATTCCCAATCAATCTCCAAACAGAAGCCATTCTTCAAACAAAACCCCACTTTATATAGAATGTTTTTCTTTTCTTATAAACCTATGATTGCCCAATGATCACCCTTGGTAGCCTGCCTACTCAAGAAAGCGAACCTAAACACTAATCTAGACACCATTCATTTCTCAGAATTAAAGACACCCAACCAAACATGCAACATTGCTGGAAAATCAACAATTACAATAGTAAAAGGAAGAAGCTTAAAAGTTTTGTTGGAGACATGTACCTTTGTTTTATGACAATTGAGCTATATGAAAATAATTTCAGTATTGGATTTGAATACAATTTAGTGTCTTAATGCACAAAGGATTTCCTTTGATTTTGCGAAGTTGTGATGCATCACCTACCACTTCCTAACTAATACAACCGGTAATAACAAGTGGAGACTAAAGTTTTCAAGTCCACTAATCAAAGCAATATTTCTATTAAATGTTCCATCTAAGCAAACAAATGGGCTGGGACCTAACATCTCATAAGTTAATTCATCTAGAAAGTCAAAAGAGGGAAAATAAGTGCTAAAATATGTTGTGCTTATCCTTCACACGAAGGATCTAATAAATATGAATCCATTTTGATTGTGGCTGAATGACTGAAACTATACATGTTATATTGTGATTTTTGATGCATAGTTCATTTAAACAAATTTGGTAACTGCAAAGGTGAGGAAGAAAATGTAATTGTCCTATTTTGTGATTGCTGACACAGTAAATTTAGAGGTATCCAAACATCAAAACACCTCTAGCAATATATAAATAACACCAGTTGCAACAAAGGTTAAAAATTAAGAAAGAAACATGTCAAATCTTCAAGCTACAACTATCATGATAACTTAAAGAAAAACTAAGAACAAAAGAAGGGGATAAGATTAAATATTAAAAAGGTACTGTTCAAATATTTTAATATGGATAAGGGAGTAGGATGTAATGAACAAGTCGTCGATGCTTGTCTCCATTTTATCTTATTTACCTTTCACCAGACTAGGACAAGCTCCTTTTTCATGCTATTATTTTGTGATTTTCAGACAGTAACCTAATTGTCATATGCTGAAGATAATGCAATTACAACAAACAGGAGGAAGTATTCTTGTATGTTTTATATTTATTATTACTGCTACTTGTACTTATATATGTCAACAGAAAAAAACTTGGGAAAATAAGCGTTAATCTAAAACCATATACGTTTAGATTTCCAAATAATCCATAGAATATTTTTTACAGTTGATAAATTTATGAAAATGAATGTGTGTTGCTGATAACAATTTACTTTAGAGATCAATGTTGTGATTTCCTAAATATAAAATTGTGTTGGATACGAAATTTCTACTACAAATAACCAAGCAATTAGAGTACACTTAATGTATGAGCATTTATTTATTTCAGCTAGTTTGACTTGGATTACAAAAGCACTCAAGGTGTGGTTTCATCTAGAGCTTAGTGCATTGTAAATCCACCTGTGGATAATTTCTTCATGGAAATTCCTCATGATATGTTCATTGAAGGTGAACTTTAAACCAGTGAACTGTTTCATCTCATTTATGTTGCCTATCAAATCTTTCTATGCTTCATTATCAAAATGCCTTTTCGTAGCAATTAGTTATTTCTTTTTACCTTTAAATTGAGAAAGAAAGAATTAAAAGCAATCAATTTGATATGGTATAACTAATTGTTGCCTGTAAAGGGCAAAAAAGGAAGAAAAAGAGTTGATCCTTAGAAGACAGACCGAAGCTCAAGTAAGTATTCGACACTAATGCATATCAAGTGCGTAGAAGACTGGCATTGAATATCAAGTCCATGCATTCAATCATAAAAAGAATCAAAATAAGACATTGCAATTAATGATTGTAGCAAGATAGACTTGAACTCCTAAGCTCTAAAATTTTATCTTTTTCTAAACTTTTAACAAGCAACAACTACCATCATGCAGTTATAGTCAAAATCTATATTTTATGTGTACTTTGGTGACAACGTAGGGCTAAAATCGAACTAAAATCATCTAGCCATTTTACCTAGGGACAATCTCCAATAAATAATAATAATAATAGGGCAATTCTTACTGAAAATTTTACCTACTAAGCAAATTCAACTTTAGTTCTCCAATATTTGCCCTCAAAAGAAGATTGGTTGGGAGGGGGGGGATTTATAAAAGGACTCACTGTCACCAAGGATTGCTATTGTCGCCTCGCTGGAGGAGAGATTAGGGCTCACGGGAGAATTTAGCCATGGATCGATTGAGGGAGAGAGATAGGATTAGATCTAGGGTTAGAGAGGAGAGAGGATTGCTCCAGGGGAGGGGTCGAGAGAGGTAGAGAGAGGTTTTTTTGGGGGGTGGGGGCGGAGAGTGTCAAAGGAGTGATCGAAAGCAAGTAAGAGAGCTAAGTCACGAAAATTTCCAAATGGCCCTAATTTAGTTGTCATTTGAAATAGCAGGTTTATTGTAGTTTTAAAATTAATGTGGAATTGTATTAATTCCAATTTTTTCAAATTCTTTTGCATCCAAACATTGAAATTGGGCCAAATCAAAAAACTAAAATGATATCCCTCCATCCAAACAGGCCATAAAGGATTTTGTAGTATGATTTAAAATACCAAGATTTTGGGGTCTTATATAGATATAGAGAAGATTTAGGGGTTTTATATCATATAAAACCTTTTTTTATAGTAGACTATTCAAATTATGTAGATCAAAGTGAACAGATTGAACCATCCAAATTAATGGCGTATCATGTATAGTTATGCCTCAGAAGTATTAAAGGCACTCCCGCATATTTGTATCTATATATGCATTTATGTTTTGCATATATGTCATTTTATGTGTATATGTAAATTCGTCTACATATATAATATGCCATCTTTTATATATATTGGGAAATTGGTAATACTCCTAAAAACAATAAAAATGACATGTGTCACCTAAATGTACAAAATAACTGACATATGTCTTTAAAAAATAGTCACGTGTCCTCTCTATCCTATCAGAAGATAACATGTGAGCGCTTAATATTATCTTCACCTAATTAATAATCCTCATTTAATTAAAACGATCCACAATATAATATTATAATAATAAAATATTTGCTAATCCTAATCAAGTTAAACTATGCATAATTAAAAAAAATCTCGTAATCATATATTTAGTTATACTAATTAAAGGAGAAAAAACTCAGAGAGAGAGTCTCTCTATATAAAATCATATATGCAAAATTATACACATGTCAATCTATATTTAAAGTTGATGGATTCGTCTTATTCTTAAAAAAGTTGATGGATTAGTCAAATGTTTTTTGGTATTTATTGATTCAATATCCTGTCTTTAGTGATTTTTATAAAGAGGGATTAATAGTTTATGTGTGTCCCTCTTTAAATTAAAATATTAGTAGAACACAAGATCCCATCTTTGAGAAAACCTATAGCATGTAAAGATCTTCAATTATTTCACTCTATGAAAATTAAGAACTTTCCTATTATAAAAATATTCTCTGAGATGCGCAAAAAAGGATAAACAAATCAAATGCGCAAATTACCCAATATATTATTTCGAATTCCCCCTATCTTATCTATTTTCTCTAATTATTAGTTTGAAATTCTAATAGATTTTAAGGATTATTCTAAAAATAAATAATTGAGTTATTAGGATTATTTTATGGATAAGTGTTTTTAAAACCACATATACTTTTCTAATGAAATTGTAATTATGTGATAATTAGCTTTTAAGCATGATTGTTTTAGATTATATTAATGTGTTAGTACTTGATAGTGATGAAAAATGAATGATATCCAATGAACAATGACTACTTCATAGTTCGTCGACAAAAACTTTGGTAACCAGAACACCAGAAGGCCTACTGACAATTGTAGTGAACTTCATTTTTAATCCAGTAAGAAATTGCATAAGGCAAAGGAATCAAATAAGCATACCTTGGTAAAAGGAGATAATGCAGACGACACATAAATTGCATAAAATGTTCGCACCATGAGAACCAGGAATTTAACAAAGAAGTGAATGATATACAAAAAGATGCATAACAACAAAGAATTAAGCAACTCAAGAAAAAAGTGCACAACAGGGAGTGGAGTAGGTTCCCTCAAGCAGTCGGGATATTTTAAGACTATAAACCAGACAAACCAATAGGCTAGCAGCACTATGTGATAACGTATATGATTTGGATCAGGATTAGCAAAAACTTCTGGATGGATGCCTAGTTTCTAATGATGCTAGGAAATTGAGACTAGACATATGAAATAAATGAATTGCATGCAATAGTTAAGGACAACCAAAAGCTGAATACAGTACTTAACATGTGAATGATTGATAATGCAGATCTTAATAGATTGAACCTTTCAACACCAAACATATAAAGATCATAGGCAATTTGCACCATGTTTACATATACGAAAAAACAAGGAACACTAGTCTGCTATATCAGTGATCAGTCAGACAGTAAATATGCACCGTGTTTTTCAGCAACCAAGCCAGAAACTTAGGTAGAAATATCGAAATCATCTACCTGAAGCGCTACCACTGTCATGCCCATATCTGATGAATGTAAATTATTACTTAGGCATAAAGATCTACGCATACTGCCCACAAGCCTATGAATAGAAATCTTTAACTGAAATCACGCTAAGCCTAGTGAGAAAGCTAAATTCAAGGTAACATAGAGAGCTAAGAGAGAGATCGAAAAAGGCTGAAAAGCAAAAACAGATGCATCACACCTCATTAGCTCATCTCAAATTCCAGCTTAGACTAGTGAGAAAGCTAACTTCAAGGTAACAAAGAGAGCTAAGAGAGAGATCGAAAAGGCTGAAAAGCAAAAAGAGATGCATCAGCCCTCATTCATCTCATATTCCAGCTAAGACTAGTGAGAAAGCTAACTTCAAGGTAGCATAGCGAGCTAAGAAAGAGAACGAAAAGGCTGAAAAGCAAAAAAAATCATACCAAATCTGAAAAAATCTTTATAATAAACTGAAATGTAAGAAGACTTCGGCGGTTGGTAAAAGCTCCGTAGTTCATACATGTAAGACACACCCGTGCGAGCACGAGCAAAACTGTTGTTAACTGTATATGAAAAAGTGTTTATGGTCGCTGCCTTCCACAACTAAGTTGTCGCTTTAAGATCACAAAATGAGTCAACTGAATGGACGACCTACATGCTTCATTAGCATGCTAGCATTGAGTTGGCCGCAATCTATGCTGTATGTGCCATATTCTAGATTTCCAGATCCATGTGTTTCTTTTGCCACCTGACTTAAAAACACAGCAAGTCGGATGAAAATAGGCTGGATTGTTATTATTTATACATTGCAGTACACAACTAAATGGAAATCATTTTTCCTTGTAATTTTCCATTAAGTTGCAGTCGCATAGCTCTCTAAACTACAACATAGTGCTCTGAGGAAAGAATTTATCACATGCTTATGTTTTAAGGTTAGTTTAACCTGCAGGCAACACAGTCCTTCGACCAGTATGACATAATGTTTACCTTCAATATACTCGAAACTTTCTAGGCACATTTTTGTTTAGCATTTTCTATATAACTTGTATATAGGGGTATTGGAGCTGTGGTGTATAAAGTACCTGAGATCAACAATGACAGGATACTGAAAATAAGCCTCAGAAGTTTGGACTCGGAAGATACAACACCGATTTCACAGGTCCATTGACCATGTTTCTCAGTTTGAACTCATGCTTCGAATAATAACGAAGATAGTTCATAATATTTGTTCACATTTTTAAATGAACAGGAATATGGAGGCGGTGGGCACAGGACTGCAAGTTCCTTCATGCTGGACACACAGGAGTTTGAACGGTGGAAAGTTGGAGGTGAACCTCAATGTTGATTAGAATAATTAGAATGGGAAAAAAGGGTTTTTGTCATATTAAACCCAGAAATCTTTGTTAATTATGTATTAGACCCCCAAATCTCAGACCCACATTTCGCACTAATATGACGATTTGACGGTCTATTATAGAACTAACAAAGATTTAGGTGTCTAATATAGAATTAACAATGATTTGGGGGTCTAACATGAGGGTTTCGGAATCAGAATTCAAGTTCATGTTGGCTGCAGGGAAGTTTGAGGGATGGAAAGTAGGATTCTTGTCTTCAATGTTAATGTTTATTTCTATAATCAAAATGTAGAAGTGTGGACAACAAGCCTACTGGCTTGCCAGTCTGTATTTTTATTTCATTGTTGTCTATTAGTTAAATACATCGTACCCGTCTCATTGGATTTTTCTTTTTCTTTTTCTTTTTTAACTACACACTTTGGTCAAAATGTAACTTAAAACTTTGTTAATTTCGTGGTTATCTATTGGTTAGATTTGTTATAGGGTAAATTACACTGAACCCCCGTGAACTTTCCGCATTTTGCAGTAAGCCCATATGAACTTTCAAAATCGTACTAAACCCCAATAATTTTCGTAGAGAAACCCCTATATCTTTTGGATGAATTATGCTAAATCCCTAATAACTTTCAAAATGCCTTTTTATGTTGTCTTCTAGTTCTAATTTATGGGGGTTATTCGCAAAATGCAGAAACCTATTGGGGTCTTTAGTGTGATTTTGATAGTTCATATGGATTTAGTGCAAAACACCGAGAGTTCATGGGACTTTTAGTGTAATTTACCCTTTATTATCCCCTCTCATTTGATTTTTGGCTTCATTGTTATCTATTTGTGCAATCCTTTGGCCAATCAACAGTTGGATTCAGGGGCTAGCACCCTTGGAAGCAAAATTTAATTTACGGTTGATATGGTATGAATATTTTTTATATTTTCGATCGTATGGATAGAAACATAAATATATTCTCGGTCCTATGGAGAGACATTATGCTATAAATAGGGGCTAAACTATGAAATTGGTATTTAAACTAGACCTTTTTTTACCAATAGGTTATTTAAAAAAACCTTTGGTGACGTTATGGTATTTTATTTTGGCCTGGTTTACCAATAAGACCCTTCTCTCGAAAATTTGGCGGGAAAATTTCTTCCACCCTTGACCACTCAAAATTATTAAATCTACACCTAAAATTATTCTTTTTTCATTATTTTCCCCCCATTTCTTTTCATTTATTAAAAAACAAATAATTTCTTTCACTCTCCAAATCATACAACCAAACTTAAACTATAGAATGCCGTGACAATGGACATGGATATGAACGTGTTAGTGAACGAATTGGGTCATGGCCATGATCTAGAAACGAAGCTGGATGCCCACTTGAGCTCAGATTCAACTGAATTGTGTTAGGTCCGAGAAAACTTTGGCCAAAACAAGTGCTTCTCTGGACTCTTCTCACTTATTCACCACCGAGGATACCATTCAAAGTCGAGCACAAGGGGACACCTAATAAGAGGTATGTTCATTTTAGTGTAGAAATTGAACTAGTTTCCATGTAGAAAATGGTGGGAGAAAAAGAAGAGGTATGTTCATTTTACTGTTGAAAATGAACTAGTTTCCATGTAGAAAATGGTGGACGAAATCCCCTCGCGGAATTTTAAGCTAAACGGGGATGAAATAAAATATCACGATTGTCGCCGGAGATTTTTTAAATACCTTATGGTTAAGATTGTCTATTTTAAATACCAATTTGATATTTTAGCCTATAGATATGTATTTTAGTCGCCTACTATTTTTGCATTCTACGGAGACAAACAAAAGTGACCGAGAGGTGATATTAGCACTAAGGATCCTATCAAAATTATCACTATAAGAATGAGATGGTCTGCATCATAGACAACAGAGTTAAAATTTTCAAACTAACCGTCCAGCTATTTGTGAATGACGTAGATCATCCTTTTCCATAAGCGTGTTTTGATAGAATCTATACTGTGAAATGAGTGTTCTAGAGATTTTGTCGCAATCATTTGTTGATTATTAGTGGAATTGTGACCTGGTGATAATTTAAGAACACAAATAATCACATTGATTGTCACATCTTAACTAAATCTCTGTTTTCTGTGATTGTTTTCTCCATCTCCATTCTTTCTTTTATCGGTCTGCGATCACCTTGTTGGCGCCCTCACTTCACCTCATCTGTCATCTTTACTAAATCAAAATGATTGCAGCTCGTTTCACAACCTTCTTCTTCCAACATCTCTTTCCTTTTTGCACCCCCTTTATCTGCCCCACTATTATTTTATATCCTATTAAAGTAAAGTAAATTAATCTCATCCAACTAATAAATGGGCGCCAGATCACTGGATAGCCCATAAATAGCAGATATTAGCCTCTTAAATATTTTAGTAGCATGAAATCAGGTCCTGAATTCATCGCAATTACTATAGGTCCTACAATTCTTATAAGCTCCTTCAAAATTAGTCCCTTGGATCATTCGGATTAATGATATATCTCACGGCTCGCATGATTCGTATCAAAGTTAAATCCTTTCATCATAGAGAGAGTTTATGAGAACACTTGCGTAGAGTTGCGTGATATATACCATTCATATCGGATTAGAGGATTAGTTTGTAAGCTTTGACTATTTTATTTATAGTCAAAAATTTTATGCAACCGGATAGTGACACATCATCTGTTCCATGTCTTATGTTACCTATTTGGGTTCAGGAGGAATTAATGAATTTGTATTCCTGTTGTCAGGACTTGCAGTAGAAAGACACGAGTAGAGTCGCGGACGTGTCGGGAACCTGATTGATTTGAGGTACTAGTTTCAAAAGTATTAAAAAGGTTCAAAGGGCTAATAATCGAGAGAATTGTTACCCAAAAGTAAAAGCCCACTCCCCAGTTGCTGCCCTTTACTCTTCCTCCACACTCAAGAACCGCCGAGAGCCCAGGCCCCCGGAGCTCCGCCTCTCTCCAATGAGGCCCCCAGCGTCCGAAAACCCCAAGGCTCTCCTCCTCTCCCTCTTGGTTCTCCTAATAGCGTCGAGCCCAGTCCTCCTACTCCTCCTCCGCCCTCACCGAGTGGCGCCCCCGCACGTGCCACCTACTAGCGCCGCCGCACCCACGTTTCGACACGCTAGGGTAGTACGTCGGTTGCCCCAACCTCCCCCAAATAGGACCCCCACCTTTTTACCGCCAGACTTAACCGCTATTTGCTTTCTTTCTTTCGCACTGAAAACGCAAGGAGGAGCTTGCGGTACGGCGGTATCCTGGGCCAAAAGCGGTGTACGCGGAATGCGCACGGCGCGGCTGTTTTGCAGCGAGGCTCTGTACGAAAAGGCGCCAGGCCTTGTGGGCTGCCTACGAGATCAGCCGTGCGTCGATTGCAGCCCTCAAGCTACTGCATCCCTGCCGCCGACCCGACAAACTCGTTCCACGCCGCACCAACTTACTCCGCTGACCGCCGATTCGGCATGCCGGCGCGACGCGGCCCAGCGAGAAGTTCTGCTAACCGCCGGGGGGGGTTTGTAACCCGCCGAATCATCACTTCGTCATGCCGATCGCGGCGTTCGAGAAGATCGCTATCTGGAAAGCCGGGGTTATCCCCATTCAGTACCGTCGGTGAGATCTCAATTTCTTAAAATTGCACTTACACGCCCTAAGGTTTAACTCAGCCTTGCACTTAGCCGACCCCTATTTTAAAACCGAGCAAAAATAAAATGCCCCGGAGCATTTTTTTTGACTGAATGCTGGGTTGGAGAGAAACTTTGGGGCCAAAGTACTTTAGCTGGTTGAGTGAGCAGCACTTCACTCGTAAGTTATATCTAATTCCTTGATACACATCTGTTGCTAACATGATGGTCAACTATCATATGCTACTTCTGATGTGTTTTATAGCATACCCTTGATATCAAAGATGCACCCAAAATTACTTGGTTTCATGATTCTGTTTGATTCTTGTATTTACTTCTTTTATAATATTTCCACTTCCTTGGTAAGAATTTTTTCTTGGAAGGATCTTGGCTATTATTCATGTAAGCACAGATTTTCATTACATAACAAATTTTCTGCTCATTTAGCATTCTACTCTTATTCATTGATGTTGTGGATGATGGGCATTAACATACCCACATCACATGTATGCTTGATTGTTTCCATATCCAGAAAACATGCATATCCTTGAACAATATGTACAGTCACTACTATTTTGCAGCCATCTGTGTACTGTAGATGTGCATTATATGTTTATAGCACTTAGGCTTTCCTCTCTTTGTCTTATCTGAAGGATGGATTGATCACTATTACAAGGCACCTCTCTGTTTACGTATATCCTGACCCTTTAATATTAAAGTGATTAGCACCTAAATGTTTTGCATATCAAGCTGCACCATAATCTTTCAGTTCCATACAGATCTTCATCAAGCTTCTGACATGAACTAACTCCTCAGCGAAATAAATAACATCTTTGACTGATATGAAGTTCCCATTTCCGACTTCAAAATCACTAGGAGAAATAAAGTAGCCAGGATCATTTTTTTTGACTGCTAGAAAGTCCTTTATTACCCTAATTACTCTGATTATCAATAGGGAAACTGGTGCACATGGTAAAAGTCAATGGAACACTTTTATAAAAGTGTTGTCTCCCATCTAAATCTGTGTAATAAAGCATGAACATGCACATGCTCAATGATCTAGGAGCTAAAATCAAGATTCAAAGCCTCTTTGTGACTCGTAACAGCTGGAACTTCAGTATTAAGCTGTTTCTTTGCATCAGCTTTTCTGAAACCTGGTTTTAAGTTCATTTATGCATGTAGATCTTTTGGTATCAGGCTGCAGTTGCGCGTGTTCCAAGTGACTATGTTAAGATGTACTTCCTCATCGAACAATTTGTGGTTACATGCGTTGTACATGACCACTTTAAGACGGAAAATCTGTAATATCTAATACATCATCTCTATAACCTAACAATTAATAACTTAAAACGGAGGTGAGGGAAATTTAAATATTTCAGTTCCTATCTGGCCATCTACCATACAACTAAAGGGATGAGCATATTTTATTACAAATTGCTGCATGCACAGGAAACCCTTTTCATCGAGAGTTCTATTTCCAGCTAGCTTTTTTCCCTAAAAACCACCTTAGAAAAAATGAATTTCTGGTCACAGACTGAAAATTTTTAAGATTAATTTATGTAAACCACCATATATATTCAATTAATACCTAAACTATCTGCAGAGTTAGTTTTTATTCCAATCAACCACCTGACCCACTTTGCTTCTTAAGTTTTCCTAAAATTCCAACAATATCCTCACTTACTCTCACGTGTAAAGCACATAATCTCTCTTGTTGGTGCTCTGAAAGCTTTTCATGTCAGATTATGTGAGGATATTGTTGGAATCTCATGAAAGCAGCAAATAGGGATCAGGTGGTTGATTGGATGAAAAACAGGTTTTGTAGGTGGTTTAGGTATAAATTGGAAATATAAGGTGGTTTATGTAAATTGACCGTATATATAAGGTGGTTTCCACTAAAAAACCATTTATAAAAAAGGGGTATCATCTGCCTTGGAACAGAGGCTGCATTCATATTACTTTAGCTTATCGTTTGAATGTCACATCATTTTGCCGCAAGTTGGAGCAGTCACTTCCTAAATTATATGTTGTCAAACTTGCCTTGTTGAAAATTGTTATAAGATCCTATGGATAAGCCAATGGTTGAGGCATAGCAACAAAGTGAATACTCAATGAGAAGGCTACAAGAAACTATTCATTTAGGCCTTTATGGTCTGGCTGGATTAGAACCCAACCAAGCCAACCTCTTCATTGGTAAGTTTAGGTTAAAGCTTTTAAACTCTGGATTGTGTTTGGACTGAGGGTTGACATGAAATCCAAGGGAATCATGTCTGAAACCGATCCATCACTGACCCAAAGCAAACCACCTGATTTTTTTTCATCTCTATTTGAATTTTGAGGATACAATCTGAGGTTGTGGATTTGAGAGTTTTACCTTGATTTCTGAAACATGCAATTACTCGCAGATTTTCTCTATTTTATTTTTGCATGGTAAAGAACATCTGTTTTAGTGGTATGCATTGCAACCTGATCCAGCCCAATTAAACTTGATCATGATCAATCCACCCGTATCCCTTTTAGAGATCGAGCTGGATTCATGTTACTAAACTTTAAAGTTTTCCCAACCCAACACAACACAATGTTCTCCATTTGCACTCTTCGAACCGCCTCTCATAGACACAAAACCACATTAGAGGGGGGGAAACTGTCTAGATTAAGGGAAACGTAAATTGAAGTGCTCTCTCTTGGTGAGCGGAATTGATCGAATCTCCACCAACTCCTGACCGTGTTGCCAAATGCATATTTCATGTTAAGAGATGCCATGATGTGGAATGCCAGTTGTGTAAAATTACAGGTAGGGTCATGTTTTGAGATCTGGAAGGAACTTTTAAAATTGGGTGGTCGGGCAGCAATTTTTCAGTGAAGCGAGACTTTTGGTCTAGCAACATGAGAAGTTACTCACCCAAACCTCCAGAAATGAAAAGCTGAGGTCTAATCTTTTTTATTACCTCTTTTTCCTTGCTCATTAGGAGGTTATAGATGTTCAAAGCCTGCTCTCTCTTTTCTGCCAACTTTCTTACTTTAGTTGAATAATCATGGAAATAGTTGCTACTTGCTAGTTTAACTAATTAGTAATTACTTGTTCTCGGATACTTCACTGCCTGAGAAAGTATCCAGTAGGGATGGTTCGTAGAATTTAATATGCACTAAATGGATGTCAACAATTGGATCACATGCATGAATCGCGATGTCCAATGATCTAACGGTTGACATCTATTTGGTGCACATTTAATACCATGCACCTAGGGTCATTTGATATTTTCTCCACCTAGCTAGCAGGCCAGTAAACATTCAATTGACACCAATAAATATAATCCTTAGGAAACATTAATAAATGTCAAAGAATCTTGCCTAAATGTTATTTATTGTGTGATTATCATTAACTTGGAAACAATATGCAAAAAAACGTTAAAATTTTCAGAACAATGTGCAATTAAGTTTCTTGGGTGATTATCATTAACTTGGAAAGAATATGCTTAACAATTTCAGAATAAAGTGCATAAGAGAAGGTGGTGTCCGATTCACTATTGATGGCCGTAAATTCTTCTACACCGTTCTGATCAGCAATGTAGCTGGAGCTGGAGATGTGACCGCAGTAAAGATTAAAGGTTCAATGACAGGTTGGCTTCAAATGGGTCGAAATTGGGGACAGAATTGGCACATAAGCGCGGATCTCAAGGGCCAATCTCTATCCTTTGAGCTCACAACTAGCGATGGCGTCACACTCTCCTCTTATAATGTTGCACCTAGAGATTGGACCTTTGGCAAAACTTACACCGGCAAGCAATTTCCATTCTAATTAAATATGTATAATGCTTTTGTTCATTACTATTGTACTATGAGAAATTACCAGGAGAAAAAATTCATCAGTTTTGGATGCATCTTTGATGGAGTATGTGATTTTGTGCATTATGCTGTACTTTAAAGTAGCTTTCAAAGGCGATGTTTTGATTCTATTTCTGTGCGCTCATTGGTGATATCTGTTCTCAAGTGAGAGTATGTCTCACCATTTGTGATCATTATGTTTATTGACCCAGCAAGAGATTGTAAGACATTTAAATTGTAATTCACATGGATGGGTCCAGTTCAATGTTCAGAGTTGTGCATAATGTTCTTTGTGGTGGGGTTCAGATTTGACGCTAAGGCTTTTTTCCTTTTGATTGGGGTTTTATGGTGACAGTAGTGAATGTTAAATCGGGATTCATGGACATAAAGGTCTTAGCCGATAAGAAGGTATCGTATGTTGCTGGGCACCACATCAAGATTCAAGAGCATCGTCTTGCACGATTAAATTTGGAGTGCTAGATGGTTGATGAAATCGGAGAACATAAGTGAATACGGCGATTTGGGACTGAGGAGACGCACCCCTAAAATCTAGCTTGTAGTTGAAGGGAACGCAAATCCCTTATAAACCCCCACTGATGTGGGACTAAATGACCCTGACATAGAGTGCTGCTACGGGGACCCAAAATATAGGACCAAGGGAGAAGACAGGTGAGGTGTCTCCTCCCTATTGCATAATGAGTTGGCATGACCAACTCATTATGCAATAGGGAGGGGACACCTCACTTGTTCCCTCCCTTGGTCCTATATTTTGGATCCTTAAGTCATTTTCCTTTTTCCGATCCTGATACCCACGCGGGATGACCTTGCACTAATCTAGTTCCGGTTGAACGCTGTAAGAAACACTGCAATACTAATGTCACCGTCCGTGCCGCTTGATTGCAACCAGAAGGTGCGGTTGGTTTTGATACCATTTGTAGGGGAGCTCAGGGAACTCACCCATAAAAGCTAATTTGTAGAGGGAGGGAACCCAAATCCATTATAAACCCCCATCTAGTTACACATATAACTGATGTGCGAATAAATAGTAGATTTAAGCAATTTGATATAATGGCCAAAGCCTCCAGAGAGGATGTAGAATGATGTTTTTGCTATGATCGGGAGCGGAGAGGTTATTATTATGTGCTAATTTCCGAACCAAAATCCACAAGGTATATAGACAATGGAGACAAACTACATTTATTCACGAGAAAAATATAACATGTTAAAAAGAAAAGGTGACAACAAATCTAACACTGATTCAATTTTTTTTCCCAAACGTGGTTCTTCTCAATTGACGGACATTCAGATTCCCATTTAGGAGGTTGCAAAACAGGCCTTAAAGGCCGGGATTGGCATATGAAACTTTCAATAAAAGAAAAATAATAATTAACTGAATAACATCGAAATGAAATGATCAAGCTCTGAAGGTTAAAAAAAGGGTTAAACATAGAAAATCTTCACGAACTTTTGGGAAGTTGCAGTAAACTCAAATTGACTTTTTTTTTATCACACTAAACCCTCATGAACTTTAGAAGTTGTTGCACATATGTAACCCATGAACTATTCTATTTTATTAAATCTCATGTGAATTTTTTTTCTTTGATCTTTAAATTAACACCATTAATTCTAGCATCTCATGCGGTAAGCATTGTTGTGTGCAGCGAAAATTTCGGTAGAACATTGGCGCAACAATAGAGCAAGATCACAATAGGAATTCTCGTTTCACTAAGGAAACAAGAACCAAAAGCAAAATATCTCAACAAAGTGAGATATCAGCTCTTCCTCTCATCAGTTCTAGGACTGACCTGTCGAAGGAACCTAAATAAGCTATTACAAATCATACAAACAGCGAGACAAACTAATTTTACGTGGTTCGACAAATTGCCTACGTCCACGGGGCAAGGCAGGGGGAGATCTTCCAATAGAGAGAAAGAAAATACAAATAGAGTTTACAATCACACAAGTTAAACCCTCATACAAACTCTCAAATCTCTCACAAATATCTCCACCAATGAATGCTCAAAACCCTAACAAAAGCTGCTACAATTTTCTCCACCTGCTGCAGCCGCCAAGTCTCTGCTCACGAATTCTCATTGCACACAACCCTAGGAGAAAGACCAGGTTCCTATTTATAGCCTAGATGCAGTCAAAAAAATTAAACTTGAAACCCATGTACCCGTTGTACAAGTGCGTGTCTGTTCACATGGAAAGAGAACTCACGCGGAGAAGGGGCTATCACGTGGTTGTGGCCCTCATGTGGTTGTAGCCCCCACTCACAATTCTCCACCTCGGTAAAGTTTCTTCCAAAACTAAGCCGACACCAAAGCATCCAAATGTCCCACATGTTGTGTCCAGTACGTCGTGAAGTTAATTCACGACAATGGACTCAATCCACAACATGTCGGGAACCCGAACGAGAATCCAAACAATCTCACCCCCATCAAAATCAACTAATCCAATTCGGCTACATCGTAAAGACTGCCTACATATCCTCTTGCACAAGGAATCAAACCTCACATAGTTCACCCAAATGGCCGCCAACGGTCTCAACAATCACGAATATGCAACAAGTTTCGATAATGATCAAACTTGTTGCTCGGAACCACCTTAGTGAGCATATCTACCGGATTATCATTCGTATGGACTTTCACAATCTCCACATCGCCATCTTCAAGAAAATCCCGAACGAAGTGATAACGAACATCAATGTGCTTCTTCCTCGCATGAAAAACCTAATTTTTCGCCAAATAGATAGTACTCATGCTATCATAATGAATGGTGACAGACCGTTACGATATACCAAGTTCCTCCAAAAGTCCTCGAAGCCAAATAGCCTCCTTCACAACATCCGTGATCGTTATATACTCTGCCTCCGTCGTAGACAAAGCCACCGTAGACTGTAAAGTGCATCTCCAACACACCGGCGTACGGATCAAAGTAAACACATACTCCATCATAGACCGGCGCTTATCTAAATCACCGGCATAATCCGAATTAACGTAGCCAATACATAACTGCCCACATGTAGTGTCCCGCTCATAAACTAAACCAACATTGAGCGTACCTCGAATGTACCTCAAAATGTCCCGCTCATAAACTAAACCAACATTGAGCGTACCTCGAATGTACCTCAAAATCCATCTCACGGCATCCTAATGACCCAACATTGAGCGTACCTCGAATGTACCTCAAAATCCATCTCACGGCATCCTAATGACCCACTCCTAGATCGTGTATGTATCTCGAAACCATGCTCACCGCCTGTGACAAATCTGGTCACGTACATACCATTACATACATCAAGCTCCCAACCGCGCTTGCATATAGAGTCTTCGACATCAACTCTCGATCTTCAATTGTCTTCAGTGAAAGATCAGCTAAAAGTTTCAAATGGGCTCCTAATGGTACACTAACTGACTTCGTATCCATGCTAATATGAAATCGCTGTAGAACCTTCTTCAAATAAATCACCTGTGTCAAATAAATTATGCTCTTCTTCTTGTCTCTGTCGATCTCCATCCCTAAAATGCGCTTCGCCTCACCCAAATCTTTCTTCTCAAACCCCTTTGAAAGTTGTGCCTTCAACTCATCTATAGCAGATCTGAAAATAGAGGCAACCAACATGTCATCAACATAAATTAACAAATAGATGTACGCACCTCCTTTTAACTTGTGAAAATATACGTAAGGATGGCTCCGAGTGTATCAATGACCAATCATAAAAACCATCGAATCGTCTATACCACTGTCGAGGAGACTGCTTCAAACCGTATAGCGATTTCTTCAATCTGCAAACCAATTTTCCTTCCCTGCAGCTCGAAATCCTAATGGTTGAGTCATATATATTTCTTCATCAAGATCACCATGAAGAAATACCGTCTTCACATCCAACTGATCTAACTCCAAACCATATTGTGCCACCAAAGCTAGCAAAATCCGAATTGAAGAATGCTTTACCATCGGAGAGAAAACCTCATTATAATCTATTCCTTCCTCTTGTGCATAGCCCTTCGCAACCAATCTAGCCTTGAACCTCAATGAAGTGCCTTCAATGCCCTCCTTCTTCGTGTATACTCACTTGCAACCAATTGCCTTCTGCCCCTTTGGAAGCTCAACAAGCTCCCACGTATCATTCTTGTGAAGAGACTCTATCTCCTTCTGCATAGATACCTGTCACAAATCAGCCTCCGAACTCTGCTCGGCATCTCTGAACGTAGTAGGCACCAACTCATCGATACTCTCCCCCGGAAGTACATATGCAACTACTGTATCGGTATACCGTGCTAGCATCTGTATGTCTCTCCTCTGTCTCCGAACCGCAATAGAATATTAAACCTGAGCCGTCGGTCCCTGATCCTGAACATCAGTACCTGTATCCTCCATATCACCGTCATGTTCGCCTGGTGTCACCTCAGTCGGCACTCTAATGGATACTATACCATCTGGACACTGTGGAGCTGCATCGATCTCCACCACCTGCGATATCTCCTCTATCGGGTCACTCTCCACCTGATGAGAGCAAGGAAGCTTTAAGATAGAAGCATCATCGAATGTGACGTCCCTACTCAGAACAATCTTTCTATCAAATGGATCTCATAGCTTGTATCCCTTGACACCATGGTTGAATCCTACAAATATGGTCTTTCTAGCTCGTGGTTTTAATTTATCTGTTCTCACATGATAAAATGTAAGGCACCCAAATACCTTGAGCTGGTCATAGTCATGTGCTGGCTCTCCCGACCATATTTTCATAGGGGTCTTCTCCTCAATCGTAGATGAAGACAACCTATTAATGAGGTGGCTCGCATATGTAAGTGCCTCAGCCCAAAAGATCTTCTCCAAACCACTCTGCGATAATAAACATTGAACCTTCTCCAGCAAAGACCTATTTAACCTCTCTGTCACCCTATTTTGCTGCGGTGTATGACTAACCGTGAAATTCCTCTCTATGCCCTCGTCTCGACATAGCTGCAGAAAGGGGTCTGAAGTATATTCACCATCGTTATTGGATCGTAACGTCTTGATCTTTCTCCTAGTATGCAGTTCCAATCTCTTTTTCACTCCACAAAAAAATCTAGGACTTCACTCTTCTTCGTCATGGTGTACACCCAACATCGTCTAGAATAGTCAT